ATGATAAGAAGGGCGCCATAACTGAATGGCAACAACAGATGAGCCCGGAGTCGCTGAGACACAGCCTGTGTGCATGTTGTGCTCAAATGTCCCAGCTGGAGAATTTGGTACTCGTCGACGTTCAGAAGGTACCGTTGTTTCCTTTGCCATGACTGTTTGCCTGAGCGCACTGTATCCCAAAGGTTTACAAGACGATCCTGGTGTAAACCAGATTTATGTTTATGTCGATCCTATTGCTCAGCCTTAGCATCTAAATCGCTATGACAGTTCTCTAGCCAACTTTCAATATCATGGGCACGAGAGACTTCCCATGTCAATCTGAGTCCGTGCAGCTTTTTCAGAAGCCTCGGTTTACGATTTGATGTTGATGTCCAGATTTAACAGCATAGAATGAGTTGTTCGTATTTAAGAGGTTCAATTCACTGCCACTGTTCCTACTACTCAGATAATATAGGGACGGGACTACTTGCCGAAGGTCAGTACTCGGTTCTGCCGATTGTGTAACCGGAAGAACCGGCAAAACTCCATGCTTATCATGATGCTAGACTATTATGTGTACGATATCAAGGATAACATCCACGTTGCCCGTCATCGATTCATTCGCCATTGATGTAATCATGGCACAACCTCGACCTCATCTAGAGTGGTCTGGTATGTTTCCTTGTTCGACCTGATCAAACTTGGCAAAGTCAAAACCATTTCCCTCGAGCACTTCAACTTGTTAATGCTCTGGAGTTATCAGTCTTCAACTCTTCGAGAGCCGCAAATTCAGCAACAACGTCTACTACAGGCAAGATACTCCGAGTCTCTGAACCGGCAAGAAGGGTTAACTACACTATATATGTAACTCGGGCAAGTCAGGCGAATTGTTTTGCAGCTGACGAGGTTTTCGAGGTCTTGTCCGATTGCGCTCATAAGTCGTGCCGCACGTACCTTTGGGGAGCCGAATTAACTTAATAGTTCACGGTGACTATGTTACCCGTGCAGAACCCTACTTGTCGAAGGGTCAGTTCTGCCGGCTGTGTAACCGGCAGAACCAGTAAAACTTTAGGCTCAAACATTAAGATTCCTAATGATAAGATATTCACGTCCGCGTCATCCTCGCCATTATGTAATTCAAAACAACCTTCTCCGAGTCGACCTGATCCGATCAAACTTGTCAGAGTCCTCAGTCGAAAGCATTTCCCTCGAGCACTTCAACTTATGCTCTGGACTTCTTTGAGAGCCGCAAATTCAGAAATAACGTCGCCAGGCGAGATACTCTCTGGACCAGCAAGAAGATTAACCACTATCATTTAATTATTAGGGACGCTCAAAGTTGGGGGCGCTCAGGTCGCCCACGCCTACGACCCCCCTTGGCTTACAACACCATCTCGTTTTGTACATATCCGTATTATGTAAGCTACGTTTTAGGTAGACCAAAGGGGTCATAGGCGTGGGCGGTAGGCGTGAGCGACCTGAGCGCCGCCAACTTTGAGCGTCTCGGGCAAATTATTTTGCAGCTGACGAGGTTTTTTTAAAATTTATTGTCCGTTGGGGTCGAAGACCCTATGTTGGACATAGCCCTGTTCGAGTGCGGGGGGCTTGCTCCCGGCTTTCTAATGTATATGTATGTAAATCTATCTTCGGATAAAGCTGACGAGGTTTTCGAGGTCTTGTCATTGCACTTATAGGTTATACGCCACATGTCGGACTTTTTGGGAGCCGAATTATGTAAAGTATTTCGGAAGACACTCGTCACTCCACTCCTCTTCGCGAGACTTCCTCGGCACCAACTTACTAGTGTAAGTACCAATCCAATCACGAACGCAACCTCGAGTTTTCAGCGAATTGTCACGGTCAGCCTACTCAATGTCAAGAAACTTTGATTCTAAAATTTATCCTTTTCGAACGCGCAGCCACTGTGGTCACCTGGTGTGCAACTCATGACATTAATTGATCTTTGCCACAGCAGTTGAGTAACGGTACTTCCGTTAGCCTATTCGCCACGCCCTCGAATTAACCGGAGATGGATAATATGTCAAGATCCCCGCTGTTCTTGAGGTCATTAAGCAGTGCATACATGCCAGCCTCACTAGTAATTACATTCTTATAATGGCTAGTCTGAAGTTGATCATAATTATATCAACAGAGCCGGCACATCCTGAGTTGTCCAAATAGTTCGCAGTCAACTTCCAATGCCGCTGCCAGTGGTCCAATTCTGCGTAATCGGAAGCTTCTTTCTCGTCCTCTACAAAGCCCTCATTTCGCTACTGCGACGACCAAATGGCATTGATCTCGATGGACCCAATGGTGCGAATTAGCCACTAGGTTCTTGAACTCGTACTCATCATCATTCGGTCTCCTCGTTTGACCTCCAACACAGGGGGCGTCATCAAATTATTTGAAGGTGGCATGGACTATTGTGTGAACCTTTCAGAGCAATATGGTGGGGCGGTGAGGCTCAACGGGCCATATGGCGTAAGTCTGTTCATGATGTACATCAGCGTGCTCCGAGTTGTCCTTGCGAATGCTCATTTCTTTAGGACACTGTCTATGTGTCCGACCCACGCGCATTGCATCACATTGTAGTCAAAGACCAGCACATATTTGAAGAGCTCGAAGACTTCATCGTGTTAGTTCCCTGCTACTTTTTTCGTACTGCATTGACTTGGAGCATCAAGGTCAAATAAACTCGTATTTGGCGAAGGCTTAATATCCACCGCTGGTGCGGCGCATTTTATCAAGGATCAATTATACTTCTTTTCACACTACGTACTTATCTCCAGGAGAGCAGCATCGCCGACAACGCAAGCTTATCAGCCCTGTGTTCTCAACGTCAAATATGCGACGAGTCCTCTCCACCGTACATCATATTGCTGACAGATTAGCATCCACCCTCACAGCTAAACTTCCTACTGATGGATGTACGTATCACTCTTACACTTTAGAAAAACCTCAGTTGATACCTGTGATGCAGCACATAACGAGATTGACGTCCTGCCATGGCTCTCCCGCTGCGCGCTCGACAGCATTTGCAATGGTGTCCTTGGGTACTCCTCCAATAGCCTCTCAGCAGCAGAAGATGATGCATACGCCGAAGCAGTCCGGTCGGTCGGGTATGTCCGCTCGATTTAATCACCTGTTCTTTTGAATCATAATAATACACTGCAGATTCTTGATTGGAAAGTTCTGCCTGCTACGACCATTCATGGTAATCGTCACGCATTATTGCTCGCCATACTGGGCAAGGAAAGTCCTTGATCTGATCACGGCGCCCTGGATCCCGACAAAGTTTATGAGAGACATCCGGGAGATGCGCCGCATCATAGAGACCATGGATTGTGTCAGTCGAAAAGTATTTGCAGAGAAAAAGGCGACAATGGAGGCCGATATGTTGTGCAGAGACGGTGATTCAATACTGTCGATGATGGACATCATGCGTGAGTTCCATGGACCAACATCCAGGGCATCATGACTCAGGCATGTATAGTCAAAGCTAATACCGCGTCATCCAATGTAACAAGGCTCACGGATGCTGAACTGTTGGGACAAATGAAGTAGGTTTCTAATCATGCGTGCGTTATAAACATCGTCTGATCTCATTACAGCGTTATGATATTTGCTGGCGTCGATACGACCACTTCTGCGATTGCCCGCTGTGTCTACTTACTTGCACAGCACCCTTGTGTTCAGGCAAGACTTAGGAGCGAAATCAGTGATGCCATGAAGTCCTCAAGATATCAGGAAGACGGTGACATCCCATCTTCTGAACTGCCCTACGATGTCCTCATGAGCCTCCCCTTCCTCGACGGGATCGTAAAGGAGACTTTCCGTCTCTACCCATCCCTCCCACTCATGGTCCGAACGTACGTCCATTTTTCTCTTATTAATCCTCACAAACATCTCACTTCGTGCACGGCATACGATACAGAGCGACCAAAGCAACCACCCTTCCTTTACACTTCCCCGTGCGCTCACGGTCTGGCGAGTCCACGTCCACTATCACAATCCCGAAAGGGACCCAAGTAATTATTTCCATCCTTGCTGCGAACCGCCATCAAGGGATGTGGGGTGCCGATGCAAATGAGTGGCGACCCGAGCGATGGTTGTCATCACTTCTGGCTGTTCCTCCAGACATGGACACCCCAGTCGGTAGAGAAGACGTCACATCCACGCCGAGATCCACGCCTGTTCTAGGCGTCAAGGATGGTGTGCATTTTCCTAGCGTGTACTCCAACATGTGAGTACCAACAATGCTTCCTGTTCCTACCGAGTTTGATAATTGGGCATACGTACACAGGATGACGTTTCTCGCTGGTAGCCGCTCCTGCATGTCAGTCCCTTTCTTCTCATGGTGTCCTTCTGACTAACCACCACAATCTGCGATTCCTAGTGGGTTCAAATTCGCTGAAATGCAAATGAGTACGTTCATACCTTTGTGTATGGGTGACAATCTGCGATCACAACTAACCCTCTCACCAGAACAAGTCCTCGCAACGCTTGTGCTGCGTCTGCACTTCTCGCTCCCGACGCAGCGGAATGCACAAGGCCACGTGAAGGAGATACAATGGAAGTTCAAGGGGTTTCATATCCCTGTTGTGAAAACCCCTGCTGGGGATGGCGTGACGCCCCAGGTGCCTCTGAATGTGCGGCTGGTGAGGACTGATGATTTTGCGTGGTAGGCTATGATAGAACAAGAGATGATTTTCGGTCGTTGCTTTTTATTGGTTATTCCACTACATTTTACACTACATTTGCACTATCTTTTTCCTCATTTCCTGCTGAAAATAAGCACAGCATGTCTCGACGGCTTTTGACACGGGACAATGACTATGAACAAAAGGATCAGTTCTGAGATTCAGAACTGTCCAAGAGAGCATGAGACCTTGGCAGTTAATAAAAGCAGCCGTTTTCAAGATTGTTGAGCAGTTGAACCTCGATGGATCGACGATGTAGAGCTCTTATCGGTATTCGTGCATTTCTCACCAATCCCTTTTCGACTGGGAGGTTGTGTTGTACGGCGCTCATGCAATTTATTTTGGGATCCGGTCAATGGGGAGGAATTAACAGATACACCGACAGATGATAGAGAACCTAACGACTTGTAGTACTGTACTAGACAGCTAGGATGTTCGAAAGCAATATCAAATAGATCTACACACCGATATGAATGAAAACAATTCTCTGCTCGAGCGGCACTTGCTGCTTCTTCACGGCAGCCGTAGCATAGTTTAGAGCCAAGGCTGCCTTTGTACAGTCCATGACGCCCTCCTTCGAATGCTCGAACATCTTCTCGTAGAAAGCTTTGACGACGTGTTTTGCGACAGCGTCGTCAACCGCCCACAGCGTGCCAATCACACTTTTGAAACCTGAAAAATGCAGACCAGCTGCAAGGTGGATGACCTCGTCGGGCGTCTCCTTATCACCAGCGGCGGTATGACACGCTGATAAGAATGCAAACTCAGCTTGTGGAGAGTTGTTCTCCATGATATCAAGCAGTGTGAGAGGTTTGTCTCTCATGGCGAAACGTGAATTGTAAGGCTGATCATGGTCCTGTTTGCCATGACATGCGAGATGCACCCAGGTGTTGCATCGCAAAGCTTCGAGTGCACCTGCCTGTGTGGCTTCGTCGCCAGAAAGATTGGTGAACTTGACATTGGGGGGAACACGTTTATGGACTTCGTCAAGCTCGCTGTCAATAGTGGCAAGCACCGTGCCCTGCCCTGCGCCTGGTTGACTTTGTCCGATGGCCACGAAAGTTGGCGCCGCGCGCGTCTTCATCCTCCGTCTTGCTCTGATCAAAGCCGAAAGTGTCGGCGTGTAAGAGCAGATATAGATATCTTCCAGACATTCCTCCGGTTCGGGGGGGTTTGCGTTCATCCGAAAAGGGTGAGCTGCATGGAGAGGGATACCAGTAAAGGCTGCTGTTGGACACAACCATATTCGAGACCGTTTCTGCAATTTCAGGACATCTCGGAGGATGTTAACAATGGGTAGCATAATCTCTTTCCATACAGCACGCAGCAAAACTCGCAAGTCCTTCCTCGGATCTTCTTGGCGCATACCAGCCGCGTGGCGTATCGCCTTGACGAAGTCATCTTTGAGCTTCTCCAGATCTGCAAGAGCGAGCCCCGGGAAGGCGACATGATGGAGCTCTCCTGCCGTAGGGACAATAACGGCACTGCACAAGTATTTACTCGCAATAAGAATGATGACTGGGCCCCGGCGTGCTGCCACTTGTAGTTCCTTGTACGAGGGGGAGAGCAGGAATCGCGAGAAACCCCGAAGGTTACGGATTTCAGCTACGACAGCATTCCACTGCTTCGTAAGCGTCCTGTACTCCTTCTCTGCCCCATCTACTGTAGCTTGGTCTGTACTGCCTGTAAAACCTTGAACGTCGGACAAGCGATTGCTAAGCTTCAAGAATTCTTGGGCTATGAGGGAATTCGTGGAGTTGAGGTCCTCAAGCGGAGTCCTGAGTCGGGAGGCCAGCGACCACTGTTGGCCACGGCCCTGTTACACGAGTTCGACCGCCTTGGATAGATTGTTACGGCGCACGGCACACGATGCCGCATCTGCAGGTAGTGACCTGGTATAATAAAAGGCAGCGGCAGCTTCGCGACGTGATATAGTAGTTGATCGTGTTGCCAAATGACCATCAAGAAGCTCGAAACACATTGCATAGGCCTCGAGCGCAGATTCATGACAATAATTCTCGGCTGTAACAACCCAGCTCGGAGCTGCTTGAATGCGCTGTGGAAAGCCTTGCGTTGGATGCCTTGATGCCAGACCAAAGTTATCCACTGCGAGTGACAGATCAGCAGCATTGCATAGAACATGGTAGCGACAAAGATAAGCCGTCTGCAGCTGCATATAGCTGAGACATTTTTCGGGATGCAGTGAAGGTAAAGCATTCAATGATCGTTGGCAAAGATGAATGGCCTCCTCGATATCTTTTTTGACCTGAGTTTGCTTGAAACGACAGCAGAGCGCCAAGCTCAAACTGCGAGTTCTACGGCGCTCTGGCTCCGGTAAAAGAAGGGACTCACGGAACAGCCCGATGGCCTCGTCAAGATCATCGCCGGTATGCACACTACGATATCTAACGACGAGCGCGCAGGCAATGTCATTGAGTGTGGTGTCCCGTCGTGGATGTCCAAGTGGTCGCAACATTAGTGTTTCACGATGGAGGTTGATTGCCCTGCTGACATCATTAATATCACTGATACCACTGCATTGTTGGAAGCGGTAGAGGATGGCACGTCCTAGGCTGCTCAGTGCTCTATCACGAGATTCATGTCCAACAGGGTGAAGGAGCAGCGCTTCTTCGTGCAAAGAGATGGCTTCATCGATGTCATGAGATTTTCCTTCGTGATTGAAGGGGCAGTCGCTGAGTGCCACAGCCAAGCTTCTCAAGTAGGTACCACGATCGGGATGTCCCTCAGGGCACAGAGAAACGGCGTCACGATGGAGTTGTATACTCTCGTTTATATCATCAATGCTGCCGCGTTGTTCGAAGCGTACTTCTAGCGCCTTCGGGCCGCAAGCCTAGTAAGGGCATCGAGACGGCATTGATGACCCAGTTGGCAGAGCTGAAGCACAATTCGTCGAAGGTGGATGCCTTCATCGGACACGTCTATTGGTAAATTGTTGCATTCGCGGATGACATGACCGATGCAATCGTCACCTATTACGATGCTCCAAAGGTATGTGCCCTCACGACAGAGAGCCTAGTGTCGTGGAAATAAAGGCGGCGCACCGAGGCTTACAAGACTCCAAGTCATTTTGCAGGTCGGATGTAAGACTCTTGAGTTAACTAACATTAATGAATCAGAGGATACGACACGTCGACAAGTGACGAACGGGCCAACGGCCTTCAACAATTTGGTGAGTCAATTTGAAAGAGGTGGGAATTCGGATCGGATGTCTGCCGCTACAGCAGTGCCGCCGCAATGTGACAGTTGCAACTTAAGCTTGAACTTTGAAGTACCCAGCGAGTGACAGTCACCCGTTGCCCTGGGTCATTTTTTGGATCCGTGAACTCGGGCACAGCTGCCAATATGTTATGGCTTGGACAGTTTCGGGGCATCGAACATCGGGGACTTCGGTGTAAGTGAGTATTAAGTAGCACTAATACTAGTACTAATAGGCACTGGCAAAGTTTGTTCCGGTCTTCCGAGACAGATTTAATAGGAATGGTTCAAATTGGCTTGTTCAATTGAACCGGGCGATCCACATGTACTATGGACCTTTCGTTGTGTACCGACCGCCACGGCGAGAACTGGCCGACACCAGGGCTACTCTAGCTTGTCGAATTGAACCGGGCGATCCACATGTACCTTTCGTCGTGTACCGACCGCCACGGCCTGCCACAAATACTGGATCTCACTGAGACCTGCCTAGCCCGACGGTTGCAGAGTGTGGCCCGTTGTCAGCGAATTATCTTCTGCGGGTCTTGACTAAGTCTATCATACTAATAGTCGAGGCACAGCTTGCTCGGTGTTCGTCCAAATCTGATCATAAATACACACGTTCATCCTCTGGCAGAGCCAAATGCATGGTCCCTCCAATCCGTATAGTTCTCTGTTAAGTGTACGCGTCCATCTCATCGGGAACATCTCATCCTCATCTCAAAGGCGGCCCACATCCTCGTCGGTCTCATCATCAGCATTTGTTGATCTACATCTATAACGGGGGACCATCACGGATTCCTGGGAAAGCATATTTGCTACCTCACACTCGAACTTAAAGAAGGGATGGAAATATCTAGTCTCCCATGTCGTCATAGTATACCTGTGGGACAGATGCCTGTGTCTCCGTCTGATGCACCATGCCCCCTGAAACAGGGCAGCTTCAATATGAGTACATTCATTTGTCTTTGTTGTCTTCAGAATTATGGATTCTGCTGACATCACAGGGTATTCCAGACTCGCTGTCTTCGGACCGATTCCCCTGAACTAATCATACCAGCTGGTGACTTATTGATTTGCCGCTTTTCTTTGACGTGCGGGGATCACAGTAACTGATGATCTTCTCTGGAACGCGAAGTCGTTCTAGGAACGCATATGTGCGTAGATCTTCGCAAAAAGCTTGAAATGGGACGTTGATTTTGATATACGAGTAACGAATTTAGCTATTTTGCTCTAGAAATGTGCTCACTTCAAGATTATACCGAGTTGTTTTTGAATGTTGCTGCAAGCTCCGTTTCGAGGGGTTCATAGGATTGCGTACGATTTAGCAACGACAATTGCGGCCTCCCCAGGATCAACCCTGAGCGCAGATATCTCGGCCCAGACATCTGAACCAGATCTGAACTTGCAAGCTGGTGCACGTCACGGAGTCACTGGTGCCTTGTCGGACTGAGTGATTTCCCGGTTGACACAACCATAGTGGTACGATCTATCACATCTGTTCCAGTCATGCACCTTCCGTCCTGCGCAAGCAACTATCCGCGTACTATGATCATGATCAAGTCAATACCCTCCCTACCGTGCCCATGTGGAGCTGATGCCGACAACTAGGCCCATGTCCGAACAGATGTCAGGTTCATCAGATGATGAGAACGTTGTGCTGTGCAGCCACCCGTGCCACCTGTGTACTGCTTCCCTTCACTTCCACCATTAAACTGACTGGACCTGTCAATTTCAGCAGGAACGTTCTGGGTTTTAATGTAGACTATGGTTTGCTAATTTTTATCGCATACGACGAACGTGCAACTGGTTCAAACGCGCGCAAAAACCACTTTCAACAAATTGGCAAACCCAATCGTCGCCAAAGCTAGCTGATGCTGATGCAGCCAATGCAATGCTCACTTCTGATTCTTTCCGAGGCTTATTGGATTACATAATGGTTAGCGTTCTGATCCCTAGTATGCACTATGTACCGCTAATATCCATCCAATAGAGCGGAAAAAGGATTGGGTTACGCGCGCGCCGAAAAAAAGTTTATCAGCTATATTTTTGAAACATAATCTACTGCTGATGGTGTCACGCACAGCGAAACCCCCATCTTTAGCATCCCCGCGATGTGATATCAGATTTTGGGATAAGGTTTGAAAATCGATACTTGCTGTGTGTCTCGATTTTAGAGCCGCGGTCCATTAGGACGAGCGGGCAGTGCCTGCATGGAACATGCACGCGGAGCATCATCAATAGATGATTCCGAAAATGAATTGTTTCACGATAGTGTCAAGCGCAGCGCGTGAGCACATTTCCTTGGTGATTTTGCGGTGTCTCTGAGGTCTTTTTGCTTGATATAGTTCCAAATATCATTCACACGGTGGTATCCTGATAACAAAGTATCATGTTTTGATTCAGTTACCTGCAAGTCACCTTCTATTATTTTCTCGTTATATCCCTTGACTCGACCTGTCACATTTATATTTATCTCTGACTGGGTGTTAAACATATTTCCTAGTGAATGACATATACATGTCAAGATATTGACATGATGAGACTGCGGCCCAACAACAACGTGCCATCACTTATCGCATCAACCAAGTGTCAGCACTTCAGCGGCCCTTGTAACAATGTAACAAAACTGTAGACAATGTATCCCCATCAGCGCCCATCGACAAGCACCGAAGATCTCTAATCGCGATCTCCATGAGGACCATGATGTTAATGTAAATCATCTTCGATCCGCCACCCTTCAACGTGTCCCATGATGAGCCACTTCACGCACATCCACCAACACGAGGCGAACATTCAAGGTTCAAAACGCTTAAGTTGTGTCATTTGTAGATGTATTCATCTCCGCAGCGATCGCTCGCAGCAGCTTATAATAAGTGCAAGATAGAGCAGGGTTGGAAATTTGGTGTCGGATATGAGTGTGTATGATATGCGTGGTTCTCTTTCCTGTGAGTAGGGAGCTTCGGGAACGTTCAACGAATCATGAAGAGACATGGGTATCAAAGGCGCTGCGGTGTTTTGTTGTGTTGATGATCATTATTCCGTCGAGATCTTTCTGAATCCGCAAAGTCCGTCAAGGCACGGGAGGGCGATTGTCACCGGGGCAGTACTGGCAACATGTCATTTTAAGTAAAAACAATGAATTATTTTAAGATCGGTATTCTAGTTATATTACCGCTAGCGCTAGAAGGCGCCAAACCATTGAAACTGGCTTTGATGTCGGGCGTATAAAATCATTGAGCGCGTAAAGAAGTTTCAACCGGGTGTCGGGCAAGACAAGGGCGGAGGAGCTGATGGAAAAAAAGATCGGAATTGCAAAGTGGGGTATCACAGCCTGAGAACGAAAGCGTAAAATTGCAAAGTGGGGCACCACAGCCCGAGGACGATAGCGTGCCTCTTCAAGGTCCCACGTCCTTGCCGATGAATCAGCACGGAACACTTTGGGTTCAAGGAATGAATCATAGGATGATCAATATTGTTGCTGCAGGGGCGAGGTATTACGGCGGGATAACGCCCACAAAAACTGTTAATCATAGATACTAGGAAGCACATGCATACATTTCAAAACAGCCAGCTGCGGCGCAAGCCGAGACCCAAGGAGTCGCTTTCAGGACAAAGAACCTAGGAAAGCGACGGCATCATAAATTAGTAAGAGTTGAAGAACAGGCCCGGAGGTGAATAATACTAGGAAGTCAATGAAATATGCCCGAATGTGGAGAGGCGAGCTATCAAAACCCACAGCCCTAGCGCACTACGAACTGGTGCGCTTTCCTATAACGTCAATGTTGCGTTAAATGGGAAATAATGAAAAGATAAACACAGAACGTGCCCAGGTGGAGATTGTTTTGTCCCGTAAAACTGTTTTCCACGCCCCGTTGCGATGTGCATTGTGCTCGAAGCGCGTACGGTACCTTTCGGTGCGTAGCCGTCCCCGACTCATTAAGACTCAGGGTTCGTAGAATGATTCCATTCGAAAATAGGCAGTGTGATAACAGTGAAAAAGCTTCTTGACTAACATAACATACGCAGCGCCACGTAGCCTGTGTCGTGGAGCCCGGAGGAGGCCGTACGAGACCGGTGCCTAGAAGCGAAAAGACTTACGTGATGTGGAGCGGGACAAGCGCTGTTCCCAAATTGACAAGTTTAATGCAGATAGAACCTCAATTGAGCCGACGGAGTAGTTGTTTTCATGGGACAATTTGAAGTGAAAGATATGGGGCCCCATCAGTTCCGATGAGAACAAGTATTCTCCTCGGGCAAGGGGGTTATGCCACCGTTATAGTGAAAGTGGAAGACCCCGCGTACATTTTTAGCGCTCACCATTACATTCCCCCGAGCGACGGGCTATGGGATGCCGATGCCGATGATATGTCCTTATCAGTGATTTGCTAGTAAATTTTTTGGCTCGTGATCAGATCAATTACGGAATTTTCCTAGTGAGGCGTCTACGATGTTGAGCGCTATACTGCGGAATGGCATGAAGAGGCGGAGCACAATAGTGCCACGTCGACTGGTTGCGCTCTTGAATGCTGTGGAACAAAAGTGAGCTGAGTACCAAATTTATCTTGGTCGATGGTGATTGAGATTCCCCAAGTGCCTTGGACTGCCTCATCGCGGGGGATCTGCTTGGGAACGATTGGCAACACTGGTGAAAGCTGTGCGATTATATCCTAACGTCAGTCATGTTGAGTGTATACAACAATTGACTCGAATCAGGGCACTTACCGCGGTGGCCAAGAAAAGGTTACGGTCACGGTCTTGTCGGTTACAAAAGGCAATGACTCGGGCAACGACGGAATAGGAAACTTAACCTTGTCACAAGATTATTCATCATGCGTGAGTCAACTATCGATGGGAGTTTACTGATCTAAAACATGACTTGCTGTAGATAACCTCAATCATCCAGCCGACGCAGTCGGGACGAAAGCGATGGAGCAGACAAGCGCTCCAAATAGATTGGGAAAGGACTTCGGCTGCCGTAAGAACGCGAACCGTAGGCTGTAAGCGGGCAACGAGCACATGACCCGCTTGGAAACGGCTGTGTTGTCTGAACCAGTCCATTTCCCAAGTGCTTAGTGCCTGGTTCGTTGTCTTTTTTCCCTCGAAATTCAAGTAACGCTTCAAGTCATCATTTCTGTCTCCTGTCGGTAGCGGGGCTATGCGTTAGCCCTTTCCTAACTGCGCCAAGGAACTATAACTATAAAAGTCGCGGCATGAATATGGATGCATTCGTTTTATCACCCATCTACAGTCCTACAGTTCTTTACACGGGCAACTACAGTCCGCATCAAGCGATACTAGAACTGACAAGCATCAGACCTCAATCACCTACCCCCACTACCACAGAAATCATCACTATGCCGGGCAGACACGTCCACTTCAACGAGGAAAACATCTTCTACTCTCCTGCTCCTTCAGAATCGAGCACCTCGCCGACTCTCTCAGAGTCGTCACTACCATCCTCAACTGGGCCAACTACGCCCCCTCAGCTGAGGGAGTTCATCCCCTTGGGCCCCGTTACTATCAACCCAATTCTTGCCTACCACCCCTTCGTTTTCCCCATCAACTATGACGTCTCATATCCGCCCAATACCGCCTCCGCTAACATTCGCGCCTCACCTTTCAACCTTGATTCCTACCGCCTCGCAGAGGCTGCCACCAGCCCACCCATTCCCGTTCTCTCGCTCCAAAACGACCTCCTCCCATGGCGCTGCGACATTCGCGCGTCGACATGCTTTTATGTCACCGTCGGGGACGTTCTCACTCAACTCTACAGCTTCCTCCGTACTCCGGGGTCGCGTGACGAGTTCAAAGCGGCTCCCAGTCAGAGCATCCGGGACGCCATATCAGCAGTATACCGCAAACGGTGTTCGCGCGCCTCCTCGGCTGAGGCGTACGCCGAAGAGCAGCGCAAGGGCTTGAAGCGGGTAGACTTCTTAATGGGGCGCACTACGTTCATGGGGCTATCCAGCACAAAATTGGGTCCAGAAGTGTGGGTGCTAAACCTACAATGAGCAATCGCCGCTATACTAGCAGGGAAGCGAGAACGGGGAGGGGTCAGCAGCAGAATCATTCATTATCCACATCCACATCCAACCACCACGCATATGACACGGACACATTCCAAAAAACAGATATCGACGACGGCCGGAGCTCAACTATAACTTTATCATATATAACAAAACTCTACTCGTCACCGTTTTTCTTATTGTTACACTTATATCCCATATACATTACGCACCCACACTTCGTCTTCGCAGTTTTTTTTTTCGGCAGGTTTTTATTGTTGTTGTAGAATTAGTGTACCCCGGCTTGGAGGCTCAATTTCTTGGTCGTCGCTCGTCGATATCCCTACGTTTGTTGTAATGTAGAGCCTCATCCATACTTGTCATAATATTGACGTTTTTCACAAGATATCCTTGGATACCTTTTCTTGTTAGTCTCGGTGAATGCCTTGATTCGGACAAGACCTTTCGCTAATCAAAACGGACCTCATGGAGCAAGACATTGTGAGAGAGAAAACAATCAAAATCGTGGGAATTCCTAGGGTCGGCACCGTCACCTCACCCCACTGGATTGTTCCGTCCGTATTCACTTGGCACTCACATCGTAGCAATTGATCATGATATCTGCTGCGGTATTACAACATAAATTTGCATAGTATCCAAACAGCGATCTCCAAGAAGATAGTCTCTATGCTCTGCCCATCAGCGCGCATCCCTCTCGAGCTTGGATCTGATGCCCAGGAGACGACCTAACAGAGCCTAACAGTAACTTTCCCATCGCACATATGATCGGCACGTGCCACTCGATCATACATTAGAACCTAAATTGGGATTAATCTCTTCATTATGTCCGATCCTTGCGTCCTCCGCGATATAGCTGTGGTGACCGCATACTTGCGTCATAGGCTCTGGGAGACAATATAGGAGGGTTGGAGATGTTTTTCTTTTCTTTCATGAACTATGACCACAGATAATACAAACACTACTACTAGTACTACGAAGAATGAAAGTGGGAGTGGAGGAGGGTTTGGGAGTAAGCTCAAGTACGTTCCGTGTCTTGATTTCATTATTCGAGTCGAGTCGTTGAATAAATCCGCAGAGGAGCCGCTCAAGTCATCCACGGTCATTCATACTCGCTTCAGAACCAATAACGCTTATAACCCTCCTTGATTTATTCAGGGTTCGGTGATAATATTCGAGGCTCAGCACTTGGAGCTGCCGATCGTGCTACGAGCTCTACAACTGGCGTGCAGAAGAATGATGACCTTGCTGCAAAGGGCCGTGCTGAGATTGCCGAGGGTATGGCAATGATGAAAGGTCATGCGCCCGCGGCTCAAGGTGCCCCTACCGAAACGACACCGGCTGGAACGGCACCCCCTGGAACGGCGCCTGCTGATCAAGGTACGACTGCGGAAGCTGGGACCGGAGCAGGTACTGGTACCACGACTGGGACTGGCGCAGGTACTGGAGCCGTAACTGGCGCCGCAGGTGGCGCCGCAGTTGGCGGTGCTGCTGCAGGGGTGACGGATCAAGATCGGCAACAGGGAACGGGTGACGAAAAATCAAGTGCAGTTGGGGGAAAGACTGAACCTGAGTCAACAGGTTAGTGTTTTTCCACTTTACTTCCACGGTTGACGGGATAATTAATTTTAATCAAGGTTCGGGTGCTGCTCAGACTGGTCGCGAGGCTGCTGTAGGCGCAGGGGCAGTACAGGGTCAAGCTGGGACTGGAGCAGGTACTGGCGCCACAACTCGGACTGGCGCAGATACTGGGGCCGTACCTGGGACCGCAACTGGGGGTGCTGCTGCAGGGGTGACGGATCAAGGTCGGCAACAGGGAACGGGTGATGAAAAATCAAGTGCAGGAAAGACTGTACCTGAGCCAACAGGTTAGTGTTTTTCAACTTTACTTCCCCGGTCGACGGGATAATTATTTTCAATCAAGGTCCGGGTGCTACTCAGACTGGTCATGAGGCTGCTACAGGCGCAGGGGCATTGCAGGGCCCTGGTGAGGCTGCTGCAGGTACAGGCGCAGCGCCCGAGCAGAAACAGCAATACCCGAGTGCTGTAAGTCAGCAAGAAGAGAAACACGACGATCGGAATGTCCCAGAGCGTTCACAGAGCGGCGATACCGGCCAGACTCCTGCGCAGGGGACCACAGAGGACCGCCCTCAGCAGAAGGCAGAAGTTTCACAGAAGGGTGTCCAGCAGGAAGGTCAACAGTCCAGATGGGTGGACCACGGAAAAGAGAGGATTCATTTCATGGGCATCTCGACGGACGACGAAGGAGGTGAACAACCGTCTCAGCAAATGACAGAAAAAACGCGTGAGGTCTCCCACGAAGGTACACAACAGGAAAACGGACAACAGGGCAACCAGTGAGCGCACGCGCCGCTCAAGAGGGAGGAAAGATACGTTTCCAGGATTTCCAGGGTTGCGGTATCTAATTGACAGTGAGATAAATTTGCGGCTTCCAAGCTTGGTTCTGGCTCAGTGACCCTGACGGTAAGAGTCATGAGAGTCTAGGTACCGCGATGTAAAAATGTAGTCTGTTAGGCTGTTCTTTAAACCATAATGCACTCGGGAATCCGGAACGTTGCTTATTCCGATTTCAAAATTAGAAACTCATTTGGAGATTAATCTGATAGCCTACTTGCCTTTTGTACTTGTGCGCTCACCGGTATTCCCAACATGTGGACTTATTGCGCCATTATCAGGCGCCTTCTTACATGATTTCCTGTTCCCTTCATTCCAGTAGCGGCATTGCGCCATTATCAGGCGCCCTTCATATACCCTGATATCCTGTGTCCACATCTCCCTCCTCATCTACAGGAATGTCTACTCGTTGGTGGTCGCGATCGAGCAAGAAGCAGGAAGAGGACCATACTTCTGAGCTCAGCGAAAAAGATCAGAGGATTCAAAAGGAACCAAACGATGATACTGACCTCAATCCTGGAGAACTGACTTTTGAAGAAGGTGTGGTTGCTCACTATTCCTTCAACTCGCTCGTCTGACACCATCCAGATACCGCTGGAGGCCTCGGTCGTCACCTTGGTGTAACCTCTTGCACTCTCCTTATCGTTGGACGAATCATCGGCACCGGTATATTCTCAACGCCGTCCTCCATCCTTTCCAGCGTGGGCTCAGTTGGCGCCTCCCTTATGCTCTGGGTCCTTGGTTTCTTGCTTAGCTTCTGTGGCCTTTTCATATGGCTCGAGTTCGGGACTATGTTCCCTCGTAGTGGTGGAGAGAAAGTATACCTTGAGGCCGTCTACAAAAAGCCCAAATACCTCGCCACCGTAGTCTTCGCTGCTAACGCTATATTACTTGGATTCACTGCAAGTGGCTGTATCGTGAGTCATCTCTTGTTTTCGATGGATATTCGGTGTTAAAACTTAACTGCTTCGTCAAGGTTTTTGCTAGCAAGTGTGTGCTTCGGATCTTGATGAAACGACCCGGCTGATATGATGTAGCATCTTGGTTGCTGCTAACCAAATCGCAGGTCAATGGAATGAACGCGGAATTGCACTTGGAGGTATGGTCTCCTACCTAACTGATATGTTACGGTCGTTTCATGGACTCTAGTCATCTTCTTCGTAACCCTTCTACACGGATTGACCCCAAAGACCGGCGTATTTATCATGAACGTATGCATGCTTTCATCTTTACACCATCATCATATTCAACATCTTCCTTTCAGTTGCTCTCGATATTCAAGATTGTAATTCTGGTGTTCGTCGTGGTTACAGGCTGGGTAGTCCTCTCGGGCAAGACACGCGTCACGGATCCGCACTATAATTTCAGAAACGCGTTCGCGGGGAGCTCCACGAGCAGTTATGAGGTGCGTTCAGTGATATTCTAAGATGTCCATATGTTGAGTGTAGTCTTCACAGTATGCTACCGCCACCTTCAAAGTCCTGAACGCATATGCGGGATGGTCTAACGTGAATTACGTGATGAACAACGTCCGTAATCCAGTGAGGACGCTCAAGATTGCAGGCCCGCTCGGTCTTGGTATATGCGCCGTTTTGTATTTGCTTGCAAATGTGGCTTATTTCGCGGCTGCAACCAAGGTAAGAACTTGTTTTGTGTGTGTACCACGAATGAAATACTGAATGGTATCGACAGACGGAGATCGACAAGTCTGGCGTTACTGTCGCTGCTTTGTTTTTCGGGAATGTCTTTGGTTCTACTGCGGAGCGTGCGCTATCGGTTTTCATTGCTCTCAGGTGAGTTCGACGTCTTGGATTTGAGGGTTTCCTGACTTATTGTCTTCATATCAGTGCTCTTGGAGTGAGTCCTATATATTTTATATCATGATCTCTGTCTGATGGTGGCCCGTAGAACGTCATCACTGTGGTAAGTTGAGGGATACTATTGAAATGTATTGGCACAAGAACTTTTCATCTAGACTTTTGCTGCGTCGCGAGTAAATCAAGGTCCGTCATACCAAACATCGTAGTCCTACATAGCTTATACTTCAATCACAGAGCTCGCAAAGGAAGGGATACCCTTACCATTCGGGAACAAATTCTGGGCTTCAAATTGGCCCACAGGAAAGTCCCCACTTCCGGGATTGATCATCCACTTGATACCATCTGTAAGTACTACAGTAGAATCTACATGATATCAATCTGAGATTGGTTTTCTAGATCATCGTCATCGTCGCTCCTCCCCCAAACATTGTTTACCCTTTCATTTTGGACGTCGAAGGATACCCACAGCAGATTATTAATTTATTTATTGTCATCGTACGTCTTTCAACTCTTTCTTGATTGTTTCTTACTTCTTGATGCCACCAGGGTCTGTTCTATCTGAGATGGAAGAAGCCAGATGCTGTTCGGCCATTCAAAGGTGAGCAAATATGTCACTCTCTTTCTGTGTGGTACCTTCATGCGTATGATGTAGTATGGTGGCCTCTCGCTGTATTCTTTTTGGCTGCTGCCGTCTTCCGTGAGTCACCCATCTATAGCTTCGACACTTTCTTTCCCTAACCAAACCTCTACACAGTCCTCGTCGCTCCGTTCCTGAGACCACCAGGCGGCATTGGCGACACCCCACCATTACCATATTACCTGTACGTTTCCTCCACTAGCGTGTCCCTTATCCTCATTCATCGTTTGTTCTATAGGTACTGCCTCGTTGGAATCGGGATCATGCTCGCAGGCGTGCTGTACTGGGCCGTATGGCGAATCGTTCTGCCCAAGCTATTTGGGTATGAGCTTGTACCGAGGAAGGAGAAGTTAGACGATGGGACTATTGTCGCTGTAGTGAGTGTTTGCGTTTTTCATTCTATGTTTGGTAATTTTGCTCACGAAACCTATTTTCAAGTTTTCGAATCAGAAGATCCAGCGATCTATGGACTGATTGGAAGTGCTAATAAGTTGGTCTGTTGTTGTTGTAGTGCTCGTTTGATGCACAATTTATTTATGCGGTATCATACTACGGTGTACTAGTCGAAGTCTAGATCAGATCCTCGGACATCTGTGCTTTCTACCCAGTGACTCTTCCTAAGCCTCTGCCGACCACATTTGCATTCTAATGATCCGGCCAGTCACCAATCCCGTTGAAAGTCTTGTTCCTCATGATATCTTCTGCTTGAATTGATGAATGCGATACATATTAATGCTGGTGGCACTGACATGTCGTGTGTAAATTTGACGGTCTTGAGATGCCGGCTTGCTGCACACCTGAACCTCTACTAAATGCAGTCCATAATGCTATATTAATACATCTGAAATGGACAATTATCCATAAATACCGATACATGGGAGACTCGGATGTTGACATACACCGACACCATCAAGTTCTAAAACGGTTTCTGCATCTGGAGTGACAGTAATCACACGAGCATTGATGAAATCCTCAGGGTAGTATGTTTTTGCCGCCCAAGATGAAGATGGAGACAGGAAGATCTTCAGCGCTGTCTTCTGGATCAAAATGTACTAGCACAAACCCTCAGGCAGAGCGATATAGCTGTCGTTTTTCCAGTAGCTTTTATTACTGTATTAATATCCAGATGCATTCTAAATACCAACCAATCTATGAAGGTACAGGTTGTCGCCATATAATAGTGCTGGAAGTCCAGCTTTGTCTGGCTCTAGAGTCAATGCTACAATCCGTGAGGTTGGGCTGGACTGAGCGTTAGCTCGGGGTGGGATGCACGCAGGTAGGAGGGCGGGAACCTGTTTACGAGTTTGATTGTGCGCAACACTCATACGATAAAATTGAATACATTTTAGTTTGCAAATGACCAATGACGAGATAATACGCAAAAGGAATGAATTACGACTAGTACTAAGGGAGTGGCGGGTGGGGTCAAAGAACGAAAGTAACGAGTGAGTGTGCGAGAGCTATGCCGAGCTCGTTGTTGACAATGGGTGGAAGAAAAACGAATGTGGGAGACTGCGCTGCCGGGAAGCTATGATACCCGGCACCTGGAATGAAAGGATGAAAAGCAAGAATGAGAGGTAGCGCTCGGATTAGAACGTGTGTCAGTGCTAGACGGTACGACGGGTTCACGGTGGCACCGAGCAGCTTGGTTATATATATCAGAAATGTGCATTCTCTTGAGCCTGCAAAGAACGAAATTAGCTTCAAGATTGCTACAAGAAATAAGCACCGCATAGCAGGTGCAGGCCTTACCAACATGAAAAGAAATCAACGACAGATTTGGCCATTTAAACCTGTCTACTCGACTCTAGTATATCTTTCAACGAGATGTTGCTCCTCTCGCACATTTGGCGGAAAAGCCCACCCTCGGTTTTGAAAAGATTGGATGGAGTATCAAATTCCTTTGATAGTGTGAGTATCGACCGATAAAAGGTGTTCAAATCACCCTACAGCAACAAGGCCGGCGTCAAGGACCAGAATCCGGTCATATGAAATGATAGTACGAAGTCGGTCTGAAGTATCATCGCGTCTCAGCATTTGACTGAGAGGACAACAGATAAAACGTACGGGCAATGCAAAGTAGCGTCCGATCCTGGAATTCCGTTTGGATAGTGTGCTGGATCTTACTATCAGTATCAAGATCGACAGAGGCCCTGGAAAAAATTCAACATCAGGCATCCAGGAGAAGAACACACGACTAACGTGGCCTCATCAAGCACAACGACTTTGCAGTCTTTCACCAGCGCACGAGCTAGACTGAGCAGAGATCTCTCCCCAACACTGAGGTTCGCTCCCTCGCTCTCAATGGTACTGTCAAGGTGGTGGCGGTTGGTGGGAGCTTGCTCGCTTCCGACGCCATCACTGGAAAATGACTGTTTCGAAGTGGTGCTGAAATCAAGCAGACAAGATCGACGCAGTGCATCCCATAGCTCCGTGTCACTGTATTGCGAGAATGGATCTAGGTTGGAGCGTATGGTCCCTGGTAATCATTTAGTGCTTCACATAAGAGCATGTAGAACAATGCTCACCGCTAAATAGAATGGGCTATCGGGTTCGTACGTTAGTCCCGAGGTAGATTGTATAGGAAAACTTTACAGACATCTTGTGGGATGATAGAAATCTTGGAACGGAGATCTTGGAGACCAATTGTAGATATATCGATACTAGAAGGGGTGAACCAACTAATATTAGTCACGAGCGACGATCCACGCACCCATCAATAGTAATTGAACCACCAGACATCTCAACAATCCGAAACAGTGCAAGCATCAACGAAGATTTGCCAGCACCAGTCCTGAGAAGACACCGCATTAGCATACATGTATAGATCCAACAGACCAGCTGACCTTCCAACAACGCCTATCTTTTCGCCTCCCCTAATCTTGATGGAGATACCTCTCAATACGTTGGGAAGGCCCGGCCTATATGCCATTTTAACGTGGCTGAATTCGATGGTGCCATGTTCAGGCCATTGCGCCGGGGGCTTTTGTTCTTCGAGTTCATACGGAGCCTCTTGAGGTATCGTGTCGCCTGCAACGTACTGTGCCACTGCGAGATGTAAGCGAGAGTTAAGGTAAGATATATTTGGTAGCTCACCTCGCTCCACTGCATTCATGTGATTCTGAGACAAACAAACATTCAATAGCCTGTAATATGGGATAGTACGGAAAGCCTTACCTCGACGTCTGCTGTTTGTCTGGTTAACAGGCCACACATTTGTGACAGCGAGGCTGTGACACAGAGGTTAGTCGTATATACTTTGGTAGCGAAATTGGGAAACCCACTGGTATACGACAGTACCAACCCTATCTGAGCGGCGTTTATCCCGGAGACGTCGATCACTACGAGAAGAGTGACCTATTGAGATCGTAGCATTGCGTAAGTATGAGGTGTCAGTCGTTGAGTAGACGCCTACAATGAAGATTAATATGGCTCCCATGAAGTCCAACCTTATTGCAAGCCATCTGAGGGAAGAAGGTAAACTAACAACTGCCAAGACGTGTATAAGGTTACTTGCCTCTGGTTCGTAACCACGAGGAATAGTGCTCTATCTTCCAAATCAATGTAGTATCTATTGGCAGCAATAAAACGTTTCATTTCTCCGTAGCTTCGGATTGTAGGAAGTCCTGTCAAGGTCTCCGAAAAGTGGGCATACAGAAGAGAGCGAAGCATTGAATCTGATGACCAATTTCAACGGAGGCTTTCCAAGTCAAAAATACAAGAACAAACCCAGGCGCTTGACTTCACGAGCACCAGCTCGATAAAAGGCAGTAAAGTAGCTGTAACCGAGAACGATGAAAAACATAGCAATAACTAGACAAGCATGAGTCATATGATTCAGACGGTAGATGATATCTATATACTGACCAAAGTACGGTTCAAGGACAGAAATGATGATAATAGAGCCCATCGCGCTGGACAGCGTAATGATAACTGGATTTCCAGTCAGTTTCCGTAAAACGTAGCGTGCGGCTAACGTACCCAATGTCAACGATTCTTGACGACGGATCAGCAATGTTTCACTATGCAGTGACAGATGACTCACGTGGTAGTTGATTGTCAATACCTGAGTGAAAGGTTTCAGCAAGTATAACATGCGTAAATAAGTCAATACTGACTGTCGATATCTTTTCCAAAGATACTTAGGATTCGGCCCATAGGCTATAGGTACACAATAAGCATCGGTTTTAATGCTTTCATACACGATCACTTACTGTAGTATCGAAAAAGGACATGGATGCATGAACGACGTTGCGTACGGACTTGTGGTGCAGACTTTGAGACACATAATAGGACATGAAATCCATTCCAGCACCACTGCAGCAAGTTATGTTGAGTGAGCGTGCCGCCATCTGCGATAGGAACTGACTTACAGCAAGAATGTGAAAAACGCTTGACCAGTCCCTAGACAGCCGTACAGCGTCTGATAGAACGAGTTTGGTCGGTTGAATTTGCTGCGCCAGGATTTAGAAGAGAAATAAAAAGTTAATAAAAAGACACTGACTTGGTCTCCCACCAAACTAGCGTATACGAGTTCAAGATCAGGCACCCCTGCATCGCAAGCATGATGAGAAGGAGTATGGGACCTGTTATCGAACCGCGTCCCGCAACAAAGTAGGTCCAGTACACTTTGAAACTGTTTCAATCAGGGGAAACATCTCAGACGAACTTGATCGCACCTTTCCAGGACACGGAGCCTGTCGACCGCTTCTCTTTGACGATCAAGCGACCTTCAAATTTACCACTGCCAGTAGCCTTCTTTTTGGCTCTTTTTGACTTCAACTTCACATCCTCGATGGTAATGCGTGTCTGCGGAGTGACTTCCTCTTCCTGGGTTTCATCTTCCCCCTCCGACGCATGGCCACCGAACTCTAGGTCGAAACGTGCAAAATCACCACCGCGAGAGACCAGATCCTCATAAGTTCCACTCTCCGTGATGATGCCGTTGTTCATGGTATAGATATAATCTACTTGAGAGAGGAAATGGATCGCATGCGTGACCAGAATGACAGTAACGCCACGATTTCGCAGCGCACCCACGATGGCATCTTGGAATAAGGACTTTCCAACATTAGCATCCACTGAAGGCGTTCTTCAGTATGATTGACATGATATAAATGACATAGCTCACCTGCCGAGAGCGGGTCATCAAATATAACGATTTCAGGTTCAAAGTACAGAGCACGAGCAATGTTGACCTGGGTGAAAGGTAAAGATCGATTCTTCACAGATACAAGCCACGAACTCACTCTCTGCTTCTGGCCTCCGCTGAGATTGATTCCCTTTTCGCCAATCTGAAATATAATATAAGCGGTGATATCGAGTTGGATTCACCCACGTACCTCAGTTAAATCTCCATCTGGGAGGAGTTGGAGGTCTGGAAGTAGACAAGCGGTCTCAATAATGCGCCAATATCTGTCCTCCTCGAACGGATGGCCAAAAGTAATATTATCACGCTAGGGTAAGATGTTAGATGTACTTGCCCTTGAAGTTAGGGCAGAAACCATGCAGACCAACGTAGCATTCTGAATCCACGCGGTCTGTGGACAATAACCAACGCGACCGCCAAACGAAACATGCCCAGAGACCTTCCTCATCTCACCTAACAGTCCTTGCAATAAACTGGACTGTTCATAGGTCAGTGGTCGCTTCGAGAATCTTATTCGACAAAATTACCTTGCCGCTCCCGACAGGCCCAACTACAGCAACAAGCTGACCTCGCGGAATGGTCATGGTCACATTCTTTACCTGAAAAATAGGTGTATCCTTTCCAAGAGCGGGCTTTTCCTTTGTCGTGTCCTCCTTCACACTTCTGTCCTTGCCCCTCGGCGGACCGCCGCCGTGTGCACCCTTCGAGCTGAAAGCCTCACCAGAATCCTTTATATACGACTCCCACTCAAATGTCGCGTCCTTTATCAGAAGCGCGGGTTCTTGATCCTTGTCAATCACGAGTGTATCTTCAGAAATAAGTTCCGCGCGGAACACGTGTGTGAGCCGCTGAATCGCGCTGGACGCATCGGGGATAGCCGATAGAGCGCGAGGCATGAACATCATTGGTTGCCGGAGAAGCTATTTATCTCTCGGGTAAGTGCGTATCTATGTCCGCCGCAAGAATCAATTTCACCTGGAATAAACTGAACGAACTGAATATGACAGCAATGTTGAAGTTGTGTGCTGTCAGGGTGTATGTGACGAAAGCTAGTGTGGCAGCGAGGACTGGCATCGAAGCCGCGAGGGCCAAGCTGTGTGAATTGAATTAGGAGGCGTTGCTATGCTATACACATTTGGACTTACTTCCCCGAAGTTACATGAAGAATCCTTCGAATACCATGCAGTTCCTTCTTTCGAAGGTCGAAGATTTCTAAGTAACATTCGTGAGTATCTTGTTGATATTCCTCGATATCGTGCTTACTTTGAAGGAAAGGAACTTCATATGTGAAGTATTTGACAACTCGTATAGCTCCTGTGTACTCTTTAGCATCATTGCATGTCCTAGCAGCTCCAAGGTTACGTACCGAGTACCTCTAGCAGAACTTTGGCTCGTTGATCAGTCCATTTCATCGATACTGAGCGAATACGGCGCTGCACTGCCATTAACCGCTGTTGAATCGGCATCATGAGGACAAATAGCGAGAAACCAGCGAGTGCAGACGGCCCGAGCTAGTTTCCAAGTTAGAACAAATCGAACTCTTTACAGTGTACGACAAACCTCAGTTAAAAGAATGATTAAACAAACTGTGACCTGAATAGGCGCGGTCCAGCCTTGAGGACAGTAAGTCATCTCTAAATCTGAATGTCAGAGATCCCATATACTGACCTGCATGCTAGTAACGAGGGACATGTTACAAGTCAGTTGACAGCACGAGTGCAACGCTTAAGTTCATAACTCACAAACCACTGCGCACACGCGTCAATCCTGCTCACGTCGGTAGAAATATGGTTAATAAGTGTGGCGTTGTTGAGTTTGATGCGCGCTTTGCCCGTGAGATTCACACCACGCTCGTAGATGCATGATATCAGCGCGGCTCTAGCCAGTACGCCTGTTGTCATTGAATGCCAAAAAAACTTGAAAACATTAGGTGAGCCGAGTGTAATTCATAAAGTCTTACAAACCTGGTGGGAGCAGACTCTGCACACCATAGTTAGCGCAAAGAGCCCAAGAGCCATGGCAATACCGCGGTCGACATTAGGGGCAGGTGTTCCTGCAATGGTCGCAGCGGAACGTTCCTGCGCAAAGATGATGATGTGCTGCGGGGAACATCAGAGGTTACTACGACCCAACACAAGTTGTTATTTACCCGAAGGACGATAGGAACCATGAGTTGTGCCGTGTCAGCGACGACCTGCCAAGTGATGTTGTACATTGAATATGAAAGCGATAATCTATGAAGAAAACCCATGCCTTGAATATACCTCCAATCCAGAACATACCACAAAAGACATCATTCAAAGCCCAAGTAAGGCTGGCCTCTTTCCGCCCCCCGCATTCTCGCCAATGGTTGTGAAACGCTGCATATCGCTCAGACAAAGTCGCGCCTTGTTTTTTATCATTCCTTGGAATTGCATGCATGGTCCAGACGATACGTTTGAAGAGAGATGGTTTGAGTTTTCCGTTCTTAAGTTGTGCATTCCAGTCGGCTGCTGCCTTGACACGCCGTTGCCATGCAGCTTCAAGTTTAGCGGCAAGGACGGTCGACTCTCGGGATGGGTCCATTTTGTATAGATCAGATGCTTGTAATGTGCGTTGATATCCGAGAATCTGGGTGTATGCGTTATAACAGTATACGCTTGATCAGGATTCAATGACTGACTATTATATCAGTGACCCAGGAGTAGGTGAGCCGAGAGAAAATAGAAGCATTGACCAAAGGCGTCAGCTGTAGGATACCATGTTATTAGAAGGGTCATTCAGAAAAGGAGCGTAGGTGGTTTACGCACCGCTGCATCCTCCAGAGACGAAGGCGCTGGAGGTGGTGGGTCCTTAGGTAACCTGCTCGCAGCTCGATGAACTTCGAAGGACGTTGTTTATAAAATAGCTTCACTTACCACAACTGCCAGCATTTATGACGAAAGTTGGTATACTCATTGCCGGTATCGAGCTGAAGGTTTAAAGGTTGAATGTTGGCTGCGTTGACCTCCTCGACCTTTTCCTTGTCCCCCCTCACGGATTCTTCTGACCGTTGGGAGTTCATAGTACGGAAGAAAGCGGGGACAGAAGATACTGCGCCAGGTGGATAGCAGCTCCGAGGAAGAATCGGAGCGCCATCGGCCTTCAAGTTATATTATAAATACACAATAAGTACTAGTATATGAAGATAAGCGTGAGTCTATTGACAATTTGAAGAAGCAACGTAGCATGTGTAGTGAAGTGACCTGTTACAATTTCAAATTAGATCACTTTCAGAATGACGTGACAGTGGGACCCGGTGAACTCCTTCACAAGCTGAGTATTTGTTCCTTCTCTACGCAGAATTTTGGGTAGAAGAAAAGATATGCGCAACCTGGGTGAAAAATGTGAGCTGTGAAGCATATGAAGGATGGGTGGGCCCAAACAGGTTACGTATCACGAGTGTACAGTATACGAGTCGAGTACGAGCTTCCTTTCAATGACTACGAGTGGTGGTGGGTGGTGCTCGTCTACGAAGTCCGAGCAGCATATACGTAAGTTAGCGCCCATATAAAAAGTCAACGGATATATACAAACTAGAAGTTCCAAATGCCGTTCTCACGGTGCGGCACCCTCAATAAGTATTTGCAATTTGCACTTGAATTTAAACTACAAATCTAAATTAAATATTGTGTCTGTCGTCGAGACAGGAATCTAGATCTCAACTGGGTTGCAAGCCTGCAGTGCGCTCGCTGCGAAATGCAGCAAACGTCTGCCGACAGCATCTTAGCTAGACTCTTCAGTAAGCTATCATATTCACGCTATTTCAACAGATTGCAGCGCCACCACGTCACTCAAAATTCAATATTCAATCTTCAGCCCCAGTGAAAATCGACAAGAATGAGGTAGATACGCGTAGATAGATGTCTAACCACAAATTGAGGTAAATACAAATCTAAGAAATTCGAGACAGCAAAACTCTAATTTTGTGCAAAACACAAAGAATCTTTGCAAAGGAAAAAAATGCAAACATTGTCAGACTTCGATCGCGTAGTTTGCAACTGTGCAACGAACTTTCGGCAAACTTTGTACAAACTTTGCATATGCAGACGTTTAGCCATGTATGTGTGTTATATTTATTACGAGTCAGTGCACTGGTTGAACCATGTGCATCTTCTCATCCGCTCACCATGTCAAAGTTTGTCCCCGCCACGACCGTCCGGCTAAGGCTTGATACAATCATTCCCTCGCGTTTCAAGTTACTACTAAGCCAGGCTGCCCGCAACTATATCTCTTGCAGACTACAACATGACAACCACGAGCCCACTGGCAGAGCGGCGAGCAGTTGATTTATTCACTGTGACTGCCATTTCTAGTACCCCGGACGAACTTGCTGGAATCTCAACCTACATATCTGATCCTCCCGCTCCCACATAGAAAGTGATTCTCTTCCCGGCAGCGTGTGGGGCCCGCTTTAGATGGCCAACTAACACAATCATGGCACTCAACTGGACACTTATGCGACTTCCATGCAGCTTTTGGATTCTTACATGTCTAAGACGGCTTCAGTATCGTCTCGTCACACTATCACGAAGGAGTTCCCAAGTACACTTGCCGTTGATGCTGCATCGTGTGCTCTTCGTAGTGGTGATGTCCGTCATGCTATCGAGATGTACAACCATGGTGCTAATTCAAGATGTATCGTGCCATTCGAGCGCCATGCTCCAGTTCATGATGAAGAGATTCATAGATCTCAGCTCCCGCCTCGATAATCCTCCAAAGCTTTGAGAGAGTTGTGGGAAGTCGTCGTTTGCCTGGGCCCCTGAGCTGGAATTAGTGTGAAGACGTTTGCCCCCTCCCCACTGTTTCCTTCTCCAAGATAACGAGCGTTGATGCCACCAAATCGAGAGCATTGCGCGCATTGCGAGACAATACTTGGCTCCATCTCGCGTGTCACAGGACACAAGAATTTGACGAACCCTTTAAGTCGGCCTTTCTCATGCGCGACGAGCCGCTTTCGCTCAACTCGATGTCACACAGAGGCTCTGTCTTGGCAAGAATTTGCATTTCTTTCTGCCTGTGAAACCTGTCTACCAGTATCAAGGAGGTACGTGCCACGTCAGCGAAAACCTCCCGCGCTAATGCAGTACACTAGGAATACAAACGAAAGGCCACGGCGCAGGTGAGTGTCATCGTGCTTACTGGTTCTACAGGCCACTGTACTAACTGGGTTCTTCTACTACTACAGATCAGCTCTTCTTCGATGCTCCAAGGCAAGGACAGTGGGAATGAGCGCGATGACTAGCGGCGGGACCCCGGTGTGTGTGCATGATAGCATTGGCGTCGGGATAGCGGGCAGGGCGGAGGCGGGCATGGGCGCAGCGATACCACTACCTAACCATAGCGATACCTATAGATACATCATTCAATGGCATTAGATACCTCCCAAATGGAACATTTTCAGCGCATATATGCATCTAAAAGTGATCTAAAGCCAACGAGAATCGTATCGAAGCGCTAAATGTTCGTTTCGATCTCTATCTTTTTTCGTCTCGAAAAGTCTCATTTGTCAAAACACGTCAAACGGTATCGATATTTTTCATAGGTATTATCTTTTTAGCTATCTATCTACGTGTATCTACCTAAATATTGTCGATTCTCACTGGGGCTACGCATTCCATCCAGCGCAGAGATCGAGCAATGTACGATTGAGCTTTGTCACTGGGTACACTGTTTGTTCAGTCAAGGTGGAAAGCCGTCGATAGATGGGTAGTCATTGCCGTTGTCGCGATCGTCAAGTACGTTTGAATTGTGGGAAAATATGACAGCTGAAGCCCAGTGAGAATCGACAATATTTAGGTAGATACACGTAGATAGATAGCTAAAAAGATAATACCTATGAAAAATATCGATACCGTTTGACGTGTTTTGACAAATGAGACTTTTCGAGACGAAAAAAGATAGAGATCGAAACGAACATTTAGCGCTTCGATACGATTCTCGTTGGCTTTAGATCACTTTTAGATGCATATATGCGCTGAAAATGTTCCATTTGGGAGGTATCTAATGCCATTGAATGATGTATCTATAGGTATCGCTATGGTTAGGTAGTGGTATCGCTGCGCCCATGCCCGCCTCCGCCCTGCCCGCTATCCCGACGCCAATGCTATCATGCACACACACCGGGGTCCCGCCGCTAGTCATCGCGCTCATTCCCACTGTCCTTGCCTTGGAGCATCGAAGAAGAGCTGATCTGTAGTAGTAGAAGAACCCAGTTAGTACAGTGGCCTGTAGAACCAGTAAGCACGATGACACTCACCTGCGCCGTGGCCTTTCGTTTGTATTCCTAGTGTACTGCATTAGCGCGGGAGGTTTTCGCTGACGTGGCACGTACCTCCTTGATACTGGTAGACAGGTTTCACAGGCAGAAAGAAATGCAAATTCTTGCCAAGACAGAGCCTCTGTGTGACATCGAGTTGAGCGAAAGCGGCTCGTCGCGCATGAGAAAGGCCGACTTAAAGGGTTCGTCAAATTCTTGTGTCCTGTGACACGCGAGATGGAGCCAAGTATTGTCTCGCAATGCGCGCAATGCTCTCGATTTGGTGGCATCAACGCTCGTTATCTTGGAGAAGGAAACAGTGGGGAGGGGGCAAACGTCTTCACACTAATTCCAGCTCAGGGGCCCAGGCAAACGACGACTTCCCACAACTCTCTCAAAGCTTTGGAGGATTATCGAGGCGGGAGCTGAGATCTATGAATCTCTTCATCATGAACTGGAGCATGGCGCTCGAATGGCACGATACATCTTGAATTAGCACCATGGTTGTACATCTCGATAGCATGACGGACATCACCACTACGAAGAGCACACGATGCAGCATCAACGGCAAGTGTACTTGGGAACTCCTTCGTGATAGTGTGACGAGACGATACTGAAGCCGTCTTAGACATGTAAGAATCCAAAAGCTGCATGGAAGTCGCATAAGTGTCCAGTTGAGTGCCATGATTGTGTTAGTTGGCCATCTAAAGCGGGCCCCACACGCTGCCGGGAAGAGAATCACTTTCTATGTGGGAGCGGGAGGATCAGATATGTAGGTTGAGATTCCAGCAAGTTCGTCCGGGGTACTAGAAATGGCAGTCACAGTGAATAAATCAACTGCTCGCCGCTCTGCCAGTGGGCTCGTGGTTGTCATGTTGTAGTCTGCAAGAGATATAGTTGCGGGCAGCCTGGCTTAGTAGTAACTTGAAACGCGAGGGAATGATTGTATCAAGCCTTAGCCGGACGGTCGTGGCGGGGACAAACTTTGACATGGTGAGCGGATGAGAAGATGCACATGGTTCAACCAGTGCACTGACTCGTAATAAATATAACACACATACATGGCTAAACGTCTGCATATGCAAAGTTTGTACAAAGTTTGCCGAAAGTTCGTTGCACAGTTGCAAACTACGCGATCGAAGTCTGACAATGTTTGCATTTTTTTCCTTTGCAAAGATTCTTTGTGTTTTGCACAAAATTAGAGTTTTGCTGTCTCGAATTTCTTAGATTTGTATTTACCTCAATTTGTGGTTAGACATCTATCTACGCGTATCTACCTCATTCTTGTCGATTTTCACTGGGGCGTAGCGACGGAGCATGCAAACGCAAATGCTAATTATGAGCAGGTGCGTTCGTGCGTTTTATACTTTGTCCAAGCATGTTTAATCTGATGAACTCATCATACTCCGATACTCGTGAGTCCTGCACCCATACATCTAGCCATCTCATTCAACCCCCACAGTGGCCGGTCAAGCATCCGCGACCGCCTCTGCAGCATGCTCCAACCAGGCAACCCCATCTAGGTTCATGGCCTAGTCCCGTTCATGGTTAAAAGTGCAATGTATGCCAATACTGTGAGTAGCGTAGGTTGGGAGAGTGGAGGATGTGCAAATCCTTTTTGAACGATGACGGCAAGAGTACTGGTACGAACAACACTTGGTCAAGTGCTCCGCCACCTGGAGTACGCAAGACCCGGTGTGAATATTTTGAATTGTGGTTGAACCTGGTTTGAACGCGAACTGGACTTGGGCCGCACTACTCATTTTCATTGACATCCTCAGTAGTACTGCTATGACTGTCCTCACTGCTGTTGCTGTCACTTTCGTCATCTGGACGATCAGAATCGAGAACGAAACACCACCCTCAAGCCCGCACCTCAGCGATGCAATTTGCATGGACCCACCCACTACAATTCCGTAATGAGATAGTATGACTTGGCACCAACTCGACACCCCCCTTCTGTTCGTAGACTTACTCGGTTCCCACCCGCTCCATTCCTCCATCGGATCTCAAAGCAAATGAGGCATAACTCCCTTGGCAGAGGTCAAGACCTCAGTCACTGCTCGTCAAGCACATCTTCTGGTCATTGATAAGTAAGGATCCGATTTTGACTTTATTTATAACCCACTGTCAATCACTCGTTAACGCTACTTCGTTCAGGTTTTTCAACAAGTCGCCGTACGGAAAGTCACGCTGTACCATATAGTTCGGCAACAAGATATACCTCGTCGTGGTCTAGTTTCTGTCCAAGTCTTTGACAAACTGGTTTTTGACAATATGGGTGAACTCGGTCTAGGCTATACCGCCAAAGTCGGTCTTATACCGCCGAGCTCGATCAAATACCGCGATGTGGAGCGCAAATCTCTGCATATGGAAATCTAGTGCCAAGCCACTGCTACACCTTACTCTCGTTGGCAAGCTCACACTAGCTATAGTATCCGTCGTGGCCACCATCTGTTATTATTCTTGCAGACGGTGTTGATAATGGGATTGGGGTAGAGAATTCAATTGTATTGTACCGAGCGTTTCTGCATAACTACCCAATGTGATTTCCTGGCCAATCAAGTATGTAACATGAGCAATTGTCTGTATGATGGACGCAAGAATTTGTATTTCTTTTTGGGAGAACCTCTGCGCTACTAATCACACGAGTCATTTTATAAAAAGTGACTTGTATTATAACTCGGCGACCAATCGCACATTATTACCATGACGAATTTCAACGATTGCATCTAGCATTGAGTCATTGACTCAATGGGTTTCGCAAACTTCTGTCATACGTTTAGCCGAGAGAGTCCGTCATGTTCGACTTCTCTTTTTTTCAACCCCGAACGCTGGAATCATTCAGGCTGCGCGGTCGGGCAAAGACAGACCTTCCCCACTACGAAAGCCTCGCTTGTCAAGTGTTGAAATACATCACTTAGCCTTTTCACCCAAAGTCTAGTCTGCAAGTCCCCCGCATTCCTTTCATCATCCTGCAAGCGTGCTCGTCACGTCATCCTCTTCTCTGACTAAGTTCACTTGGTTCGGCAAATTTGAAACATCTACCTGCAGGGCCATCATTTAAAGCAGCTTTTTAGGAAACCATGTCCTCGGTGCGCCGATTTAAAAATTACAAACCCAATTAGAAATCATTACAACAGCCTAATCCATTCGACTTGTCTTCTGTACGGTATAGTGCCTCACCACTGGTCCACGGCATCATAGTGTTCACCACATGTGAACCTATTGCGCAATTTTCGAGCACCTTAACTCAAGATGGTGATAGTATCTACTCAAATTTCGTGGAGACGCCGACGGCGAGGATTTAGCCAGCAAAAAAGACCCTGTTGCGAGAACACACCATCACATTAGGAGGCGTTATGTGCTGCTATGTATGTAGTAAGATTTATTTATTTCCTATTCTTTCTCTTCCTCGATCCCCTGATTTTGAAATTAGGAATCTAATTGGAGGTCACCACTGGTCCATATCATGGTGTTTACAACATGTGCACTTATTGCGCATATATCGAGCACCCTTAAAGTATCTGCCTTCAAGGCGCTGATATCTCGTGTTCATATTTCCCTCCTCATCTATAGGAATGTCTACTACCTGGTGGTCGCGGTTAAGCAAGAAACAGGAACAGGACCGTGCTTTTGAGTCACAGTCCAGCGAAAAGGATCAGAGGATTCAAAAGGAACCAGACGACGATCCTGACCTTAGTCCTGGAGAACTGACCTTTGAAGAATGTGAGGTTGCTAGCTATTCTTTCAACTTGCTCATCTGACGTCATTCAGATACCGCTGGAGGCCTCGGTCGTCACCTTGGTGTGACTTCTTGCACTCTCCTTATCGTTGGACGGATCATCGGCACTGGTATATTCTCAACACCATCCTCTATCCTCTCCAGCGTGGGGTCAGTTGGCGCCTCCCTCGCGCTCTGGGTCCTCGGGTTCTTGCTTAGCTTCTGTGGCCTCTTCATATGGCTCGAGTTCGGCACCATGTTCCCTCGCAGTGGTGGAGAGAAAGTATACCTTGAGGCCGTCTACAAAAAGCCCAAGTACCTCGCCACCGCAGTATTTGCTGTCAACTCTATATTACTTGGATTCACTCCAAGCAGTTGTATTGTCAGTGATATCTTGTTTCAGATAGATCTTCGGTGTTAAAACTTAACTGCTTATTTAAGGTTTTTGCCAGCCAGTGCGCATTTTGGATCTTAATGAAATGGCTCGGCTGATATGATGTAGCCTCTTGGTTGCCGCTGATCAAACTGTGGATCGCTGGAATGAACGTGCTATTGCACTTGGGGGTATGATCTCCTACACAAACTGACATGTTGCGGTCATTTACATGGCCTTTAGTCATCTTCTTCGTAGTTCTTCTACACGGATTGGCTCCAAAGACCGGCGTGCTGATAATGGACGTATGAAACTTTCATTTTTACACCATCATATTCAACTTGACCTTCCTTTTAGCTGCTTTCGATATTCAAGATCGCAATTCTGATGTTCGTCGTGATCACAGGTTGGGTAGTTCTCTCTGGAAAAACCAGCGTCGCGGACCCGCACTATAATTTCAGAAACGCGTTCGCGGGGAGCTCCACGAGCAGCAACGACGTGCATTCAACGATATTCCTAGATGTCCATCTACTGACTATAGTCTTCACAGTATGCTACCGCCACCTTCAAAGTCCTGATCTCATACGGGGGATGGTCTAGCGTGAACTACGTGATGAACAACGTCCGTGATCCAGTGAGGACGCTCAAGATCGCAGGCCCGCTCGGTCTTGGTATATGCGCCGTTTTGTACTTGCTTGCAAATGTAGCTTACTTCGCGGCTGCAACCAAGGTAGGAACTTGTTTTGTGTATGCATCACGAACGACATACTGAATGATATCAACAGACGGAGATCGATGAGTCTGGTGTTGCTGTTGCCTCTTTGTTTTTCGGGAATGTCTTTGGTCCTGCTGCGGAGCGTGCGCTGGCGATTTTCATTGCTCTCAGGTGAGCTCGACATCCTGGCTTCGAGGGTTTCCTGATTTATTGTTATCATGACAGTGCTCTTGGAGTGAGTCTTATATATTTTATATCATGATCTCTGTCTGATGATGGGCCATAGAACGTTGTTACTGTGGTAAGCTGAGAGATACTATTGAATGTATTGGCACATGAACTTTTCGTCTAGACTTTTGCTGCGGCACGAGTAAACCAGGGTCTGTCATACCAAACATCGTAGTCCTACATAGCTTATACTTATACTTCGATCTCAGAGCTCGCAAAGGAGGGGATACCCTTACCATTCGGAAACAAATTCTGGGCTTCAAATTGGCCCACGGGGAAGTCCCCGCTTCCGGGATTGATCATCCACTTGATACCTTCTGTAAGTGCTACCATGGAACTGCATGATATCCATGATATTGATTTTAGAATGATTTTCTAGGCAATCACTATCATTGGGCCTCCCCCAAACATCGCTTTCCCCTTTATTTTGGATATCGAAGGATACCCACAACAGATTATTAATTTATTCATTGTCATCGTACGTGTTTCAACTTTTTCTTGATTGTTTCTTACTTCTTGATGCCGCCAGGGCCTGTTCTATCTGAGATGGAAGAAGCCAGATGCTGTTCGGCCATTCAAAGGTGAGAAAATATGTCACTCTTTCTGTTTGGTACATTAATGCATATGATGTAGTATGGTGGCCTCTCGCCGTATTCTTCTTGGCTGCTTCTACCTTCCGTGAGTCGGCCATCTGCAGCTTCAACACTTTCTTTCTCTAACCAAACCTGTACACAGTCCTCATCGCTCCCTTCCTGAGACCAGCCAATGGCGTTGGCGACACCCCACCACTACCATATTACCTGTACGCTTCCTTCACCAGCGCTTCCCTCATTCTTATTCCTCACTTATTCTCTAGGTACTGCCTGGTCGGGATCTCTATCATATTAGCAGGCGGACTGTACTGGGTTGTATGGCGAATCGTTCTTCCCAAGGTATTTGGGTATTCGCTCGTACCGCGGAAGGAGACGTTGGACGATGGGACTGTTGTCACTGTGGTGAGTGTTTGCGTTTTTTATTCTATGTTTGGTGGTTTTGCTCACGGAACTTACTTCCAAGTTTTCGAATAAAAAAATCGACTGATTCGGGGATTGATTGAAAGTGCTGATAAGTTGAAGTCGGTCTGTTGTTGGTGTGGTGTTCATGTAATGCACGGTTAAAGTATGCGGTATCATACTACCGTATACTAGTACAAGACGCAGATAGGTCGCTCAAATGTCGAAGCACGTATGATTCCAGGAGCCATTGCGGCTTACCAGCTTCACAAGCAGCAAGAGAGGGGCCTGCATCCACTTGATGCCATGACCATGCCTTGCATCACCATGGTTGGGACCTGCCCCATCTTCTACTTGGTGCCCGTCACCAAAGCGTTGAGCGATGCAGTCATTTCCTGTCAATATCCGTCAGCTAGGACTGAGGTGTTGAAATGCGAGGTCGCCAGTGACTATAAAAGTGGTATGGAGGCACAGGGTCGTCGCCTTGCAGTATTATGTTGCATTCAAATCCCTTGCGAGAAGCCACTGGGAGAAGTGTATTCGTTAACAGAGCCTTTGGAAAACCTGCTTTTTAGTAATTATGGTGGTTTCAAATTTGGGCATGATAAAATTCAAGTTTGCAGTTTATTCCAAAGTCTATCATGATCGTGCAAAACTGTTGCACGTGCGCACAGCTTGATCGATCTGATCGACGCAACAAACATTACTATATCGCATAAAGACCGAGTCCAACTTAGCCATCATGCATGATCATTAGCGCTCACAAGCACTCTCGGCGTCAACGCTCGTGGCAAGCACGTGTTCATCATGGTCGTAGCCGCCCAACCGACTTGCTGTGTACCACACTGCTCTGTCTGTGCACTTCAGACCCTTTCCAATTCCGCTAGCTTTACTTGGGATCTAATATAGGTATAATTTCATGTCACAAGCATCACTGCATCAGGCACCGACGACACCGAGGATCAGCTCACTCACAACGATGAGCAGCCTCCCCCGCAAATTGACGCAATAGGACCCATCGAAGAGTAAGTTGCAGCTTCCTGGAATCTGTCACCCGTCTAACAGCAAGACAGGGAGAAGTCAAATATTGAACCTTTAGCGGAGTTGCCATCAGGGATGTAAGTGTCTTTCTTCCCTGATGGGCGTCTGCCATTCCTTGACTCACCAGAACTGCAGCTCGAACGCTGGGCCTTCACAGCCGTCAGGACCTTCTCCAGTACAAGGAAGCACATCCAATATTCCACCAATCGGCGATTCAGCTCCGTGAGTTCTTGTCAACAATGACGTCAAACATGCTCCTGAATTGTCTCAGCGAGGAGGGAAAGGTCGTGGCGGACAAGGACCAGCCAACTTTAAGCGAATTGTAAGCGAAAAACAAGTCAAGCGATCGCAACTGACGATACTGTACACTCAGAGCAAATGTCATGAAGCAAGTATTGGACATTCTCCAGGACTCCACGATTGCGTCGAAGATTGGAAAGGACAAACGGTCTCGTTTCTGGGGGGCGTATAAACGAGTCGCAGAGGAACATGATGGCGAGTTCCTTGAGCGATACACTACTGACATGGACATTGTCTTGATCTTCGTAAGTTTAGCGTTCTGATCTTCGGCGCATCGAGACTGAGGTTTGATCAGTCTGGTCTTTTCTCCGCTGTCAGCACAGGTTTCATCGTCGCGATGGAGTCCAATCTCAGTCCAGACCCCAGCGACACTACGAATTATCTTTTGAAGCAACTCGTGCAGATCGGACTCGGCAACCTCGCTGCGGCAGGCACCGCTCCCGCAGATCCAGGATCTACGTGGTCGCCACCTGCGTCGGCTGTGAGGATCCAGTTGGTCGCATACGCAAGCTTGTCCATGAGCTTGCTTGCGGCATTCGGGGCCGTACTAGGCAAGCAGTGGCTCGGGTACTACAAGTCGAACAGATATGGCCGCGGCTCGGAGGAGGAACGAGGCAAGCGCAGGCAAGAGAAGTTCGACGGTCTCGTCACATGGTATTTTGATGCTGTCGTGCAATCCTTTCCGGTCTTGCTTCAGATCTCCCTTCTTCTATTTGGAATTGCCCTTGGCGCCAATATGTGGTACGAGCAGCTGAGCATCGCTTGTGTCATCATCGCAACGACGGTCTTTGGATTTCTGTTCTATTCCCTGACGGTGATGGCATGTTTGGTATCTCCTGCTTGTCCGTTTCAGACACCAACATCGATGATGTTGCGCATGTTGCGCGTTGACAGTGAGATCAATTTTACTAAATTCCAGTGGTCGTTCCCCGTCTGAATTAACATGGCAGGGGTTCTACGCCCGGTATTCAAACGAACCTCCAGTTGTTTCCAGCAGCTCACAAAGTCGCTGCAAGGTGAGTTGTGTGTTCTTCATGTGGACAGGTTTTGACCGTTCTATGTCAGGCGTGCTGGAACAATTGCTTGACATTTTCAGGTCAAGATGGACCCGATTGTCTGCAGTATTTAGAGGTGACGATCTCATCTACTATCACAAAGATACCCAGTGCTCATTTCACTCCTCAGGCCCTGTACGTGCGATCAGCGCATTCGCACAGCGATCTCTTCAGCAGTTAATCACTCGTCTTCATAGCTGGCTGCATTTTGTCCTGCGCTTTTCCACAAAGGTCGTGGACTCAGAAGCACAATTGCTTGGACCGAAATTAGATGTTTCGTCGGGCAATGACCACGACCTCGCTCTTCCTAACATACCTACCAGCAATCTGGAAGCACCCAGCGTCAAGTGGCTGCTCGAGACCTCTACGGATCCTGAAGTATTTCTTGCCGCTGCCAGCCTTGTTCCGCAGGTCGAATGGCCCCTAGATCTCGACGTCTCAGGCACACTGCATCAGCTGTATGATATTTATATGAGCTGCGTCGGCTTTCATGGACAAATTATGCCGTCGTTGGAGGAAAAGGCCTCAGCTTGTTTAATGGCTATGAGTCATTTATATTGTGGCCGCGTTCTTCAGGCACATCCTGCCGGTGGTGAACTTCTTGGTTTCAAGGAACGAGATTATGTCATGTTTGACCGGATGGCTCTGAGGGGTATGGATCAAGCCGACATGACGGTGCTTAAAACGACTCAGAATCTTTGTCTTCTGCAAGATGAAGATAGCATATTTCCGTGGTTTCCGTTGTATGATTGTCCTGACTCTGTGGCGGAGTGGCTGTCACATTCTCTTCCTTATCACTTTGTCACTGGGCGAGCGAATGAAAACGTGGAAATATTGGCCATGGATGTGATATCAATACTGCTATCATTTTCATCCTCTCCATCGAATCAAATCATAGCCAATTGCGCTCTTCTTGCTTGCGTCATGGTCGGGGTTCAGTTTGACAAGAAGGACATAGTCCGGATTGATAAAAGGTGTCATCGACTCATTTGGTGCTTCTGCTACTAGTATGGCTAACGAAGATATTGTGTAGTTCTGCCCTGCCTCGATTTGCGAATGCCCTTTTGGAGCAGTTCCAAATTACTCTCTGGACACGTTATGGAGGTGATCTCAGCGACGACAGCACAGGTATAACATATCGGGAATCGAACCTCATCACAGCCATTTGTCTTGTGCTTGAGTCTGCCAAAAATTACTATAATCCTTCATTCCTTGCCATGCGGAACCTGGACATGTGCAGGAAGCTTTACCCACGAGTGGGATCATCCGAAAAAAATCTTCCCTTGGAACTGTTGGGTGTTCCGCAAAGTGCACTGCGCTTCACGCTTGCTGCTGCCGGAGTATCTCGGGACCCTGCCGACTTGTGGAATAACCAGTATTTTTGGACAGGTGATGCCCATTCGCCAGAAGACTTCGACTGGCTGGTCGACTGCCTTGAGTACTTGGATCCCAACGACCAGGAAGCAGTATTCGACATCCTTTTACTCCTCCTGGTTGTCATAAAATTACGCTCCAGCCCTGCTAAACGGCATCAGTTCTTCAAGAGCCTCATCGCCTGCATGGGTAGTCCCATGCCTGCTCACTTACGTCATGCTGCTCTTCGCCTTGCCCACAGTGCCCGAGAAGAAATGGTCTCGATCGATGCCATTAATAATGCGGAACTGCGGGATATGATCTTGACCGAGTTCTCCCCCGCTATCCTCACTGCAGTTTGTCCACAACCAGGTGTAACACCCTCCGATGATGATCCTGACTGCTTCTTCCATTATGAACACGACTTGTGCTATCTCGAACTGCTCTTTGCCCTCGCGAGGAATTCCAACTGGCACCCCCAATTGGTTGAGGATCATATAGATCGATGCATTAGCATTGCTGCACAGCGCTACAGCCTCAGTCTACATGCATTTTACCTAGCTGGCATCCTCCTCCGGATCGCACCTGAACAGTCGTCGGTTGCAATCCTCAATTCTATTACAGGGAAGCAGTGGTGGGACACAATCAGCAATGCATGGTTCCATGCCCCCTATATCGTCAACGACATACACTGTTTCGAGTTCCTTCCTGACCTTGTGGAAGGCACGAAGAGGTATATGCACACTGCTAAGGAACTCGATCTCAAGTCCTTCATCGTATATGTGGATCGTGTTCTTAACGCACCAGAGATGCGAGATGCACAGCAGGGAGAGGGTGAGAGGGTCGCCGTTGCTGTGAAAGAGTTGAGGACTGCTGCCAGCGATATGCTTGAGAAGTTGGTTAGCAGTCAAGGAGTTGCTAGTCCCTGATTATCACAGTATTTGCGTGTTGTGCTAGCGTCCTGGGACCAGAGGAAGGGATGGAGCAATACAACTGGGAGGGGATAAGTATCGCGACTGAAACAATATTGATATCCAATACCAGGACTCGGCTGCCGGCCCTCATTCTGTGTTCATGGAGTTACGAAGGCGTAGGTGCCATTCGATGTATTTACAGTAGTAAGTTGGGAAATACAATATTCGTACAGTCTTGTTCTTCGTTCCCCTTTGAAGATAAGCACAACGTGTCTCTTCGCGTTCTTACTCAGAGAGTGCGCAGATTTGCCGTCTGCTTCTGTTCTGAAGACCATCAACACCGTGAAAGGAAGCAGAGCTCAGGTCGTCACAGAGTAAGGAATAATAAAAAAGGACAACAACACAGCATGACGCGCTTGAAAGGAGGCACGCAGGAAAGGAGACACGCACGGTTATCACTAGTGGATAAGTGGTAAATTATTGACTAGATTGGATCCTGCTCAGTCACCCGTGACTCTTCCGAAGTCTCTGTCGTATCCTGATGATCTAGCCAGTCACCAATCCCGTTGGAAGTCTTGCTTCTTCATGACATTTTCTGCTTGAATCGATGAACACAATTCACAGTACGTACTGGTGAAACTGATGATTAGCAGATGGGTGAGTGCCAGGGTTTCGGGGTCTCAGCCCACGACAGCACGACACCGTGACACCGTGTTGTACCACACCGTCATGATCTCTCTAGACAGCTCAGTCTTCCATCATCTCTCCAGCGCATGGCTAGAGTCGGGTCCACTGCCCGCAGCGGGCTAGTATCTGCGGCGGTATTTAAATACCATACAGGAGGCTGCCCATGCAACTTCCTTTTCCCTGCGGCACTCAAATGATTTGAATCGGTATGCATAGTAAGTACCACTTGGTATATTAGTACAGTCAGACTAACCTAGAGCTCGACCAGTACTTCATGTTGCACCATGAGAGTTTTACATAATTCGAGTTGCCATAGTACTATGTCACTTACTAGGTGCAGGGAGTGGTGACTTTGTCAAGTGTCCAAAGTTCACGGTCAAATCACCACTTCCTACACTGATAGAGCAGGATGTAACATGGCAGGTGCTTCAAGCTTTAAGCTTTAAACCTCGATTTCAGATTGTCACCACCCTCTGCATATCATGATGATGCCGGAGTCCTCCGAGTCGGTTGCGGTAACTTAGAAGATAAGATTGGGGCTCTGAATCGTGGTGATGTAATAGGAACATTTGCCATGAGAGAAGAGTCGGACACGACTCTTTCCAAACTTTAGGGTTTCCCTCCTTTCATCAGCTATTCTCGATGGCCTTCTATTCGACGCTTTGGACAATGCGAACAAGTTAAAGACGAGCGTCGTGGCGACAGCTTCAAGGACGAGCGCACCTGAAGAACAAAAGTTATACAGTGGTAATGCCCAAATCATGTCCATGAATGATGCAGTGAATCACCTAAATGATCGACTTCTTGCCAATATGGACCTTAGCGAGGAGGGAGGTGCGCATGTTCTGTTTCTACTTTTTGTTTACTGTATGACCTTGTGCCAAAAAGGTCATCACAGATCTTCTATGATTGGTATGTGTCATAGTATTACTTCGCATCCGGATCGCCCTCGATACACTCAACATTGTGTCGCCGGTAAACACGCTGATACGGTTGCTGTACTTGCGTCATCCGAAGGCACCAAATCGAGCGCTGGCGTATAAAAACAGAGGTCGTTTGGATGTTGCGTTGAACACTTCTGACATCCGATTCACCATGGATTCACTTCACAATAAACGCAGACAAGCGGCCTCAATCACCGAGCCCTCTCTTGGAGCGCCTCATCCCTCCCTCGCTGGTTCCGTCAGCCCTCTGGAGGTATGGGAGGAAGTGGACATATCGTCCACCGACTATGCCCGGAGGCGAAGTGAACTTATACAGATGATGGCTGACCTCCGATCCATGGGGTGGGTGTTTGTACATATGATTATAAGGATATTTCGCTCACGCTACCTCTTACAGTGCCGACGCGCTGATCGACTTACCATCCGTGGTGGTAATTGGTGGTCAATCTGGTTTGTGATTGACCCATTTTTGCATCTACAACTATATTCAATCTAATATTTTAGCGGGCAAAAGCTCACTCGTCGAGGCCGTCAGTGGGGTGCGTCAACAGACAGTTCGTCCTTTCACCCCGATATTCATATTTTCATTACTATAAAGATCAACGTCCCAAGAGACAGCGGAACGTGTACAAGGTGACTTTACTAACCACCGTCAGTTATTGCAACAATGCTCATACTACCATGTGCAGATGCCCTATGGAATGTACAATGTCAAGTCATGCCTCATCATGGTCCTGCACTATTACCCTACGTATTGGCTTCGATCGTAACGGCCTAGACCTCCAAAAACCTACTAATGTGCCCTTTGGCAAAACGATCACAGACAAAAGTGATTTTGAAGTTTGGCTGCGTCGTGCTCAGGCGGCTATCTTAAATCCGGACGTTTCTTCTTCTTCTTTCCACACAAAAACTGTCGAGGAACTCAGGAACATGAAAAACACACTGAAGTTCTCCCGCAACGTGGTATGCGTCTCGATTGAAGACCCCGATGCGACTGACCTATCATTCTATGATCTACCGGGTAAGTATATTCTCATCTAGATCAAAACGACATGTCTGATGCGCAAGGAAGGTTTAATCCAAAACGAGGAAGCCGAAATCGTCGCCTTGGTGAAGAACCTGGTGGAACATTACACCAAGAAAGAAAACACCATCATATTGACTACAATTCCCATGAGCGGTAGGTGTATGAATTGCGAAATCTTGTTTTACTGAATTGATGGGTTCCATGCCAGACGACATGGAAAATCAACAATCCATGAGTCTCGCCAGGGCCGCAGATCCTGCTGGGAAGAGGACAATTGGCAAGTCACCCATACCGTAGTATAATTCAATAATTAAAGGCTCTTCAGGTGTACTTACGAAACCTGACACACTTGGTGTCGGGGCTATCAACCAGCGCCGCAAATGGGTAGAAATCATCGAAGGTCGTTCAGAGGATCACACACTGAGGCACGGTTTTTACTGCGTGCGTCTTCCCGATGACGCTGAACGTGCACAACGCCTGTCTCGTGCTGAATCGCAAAGGCGTGCCACCGAATATTTCGACACGACGTCGCCCTGGAAGGACGTTACTGACCGTCATCGACTTGGAATTCCGGGCTTTGTTTCAGATGTGAGCCAATTGCTCATTCAATTGATCGAAGAAACGTGCGTAGACCTTCTATTGGGGTCGTCATGAAGTACTTACATTGTCTACAGTTTACCGTGCCTTAGAGACGATGTCGACAAGCTATTTGCCAAATGTATCAAGGACATCGACGAATTACCGCCGCCTCTTGCAAATGATCCGCAAGTTGAGGTGCTCGGACGAGTGAATGCGTTCTGCGATGCCTTTAAGAAGTTTGTGAATGGCAGTCACCAAGACAAAGATCTTGCGCAGCAGAATCGTGCTCTCTACACTATTTTCAAGAGGGACATACGCGGTACCGCCCCCGATTTCAGGCCCTTTAATCAACCGGAAGACTTTGTTCCGCTGGATGATACGGAGGGCAATATGACTCTTTCTGAGCGAGATCCTGGCGTGAAAGTGTTGGGTATATATGACATCCGCAACGTCATTCAGGAGTATGTTTTCGTGTTTTATTCTGGCAGTTGGAGGACAGCTCAACTATTCATCAAGGGCGATTGGATGGGAGATTCCGAACAACGTGCCGTATCAGGCTAAAGTCAATCTCATCGCTCAATTCACCAAACTCTGGGTTGCTCCGTCTGAGCGCTGTCTTGCGGGTATCAACGATGTGCTCGACCAAGTGATCAATGCACTCATAAGCACTCATTTTGGGCGCTTCAAAGTTCTTCAGGATTACTTTGGGTAAGTTTTGACTCTTTACGATTATTGTCTGGGCTCAAGTTAATTGTGACACCAGGAATTTGATTAGAGTCCAGGTCGACATCTGCAAGGGGCGCGCCCAAGTTGCTGTTAGATCGGCTTTGGATCTGGAAACTACTCCGCACTATACTCAAAACGCGCACTACTTCCAAACACTCCGCGACAAATGGCTGTCACATTATAAAACAGTTCGGAGTAGACCTTCTCAGTACAGGGCTCATCATCATATTCGGGGGGATAAGGAACCTGCACCACGACCTGAGACGCCTAGCCCCCACAAAGGCCGCCCAAGTCTCGAGAAAGACTATAAGGAATGGGGGCAGGAAGGTTCTTCGATCGGTTCGACACCCTCAGCATTCTCATCAGCTGCATTCCCCGTAGAGGCAAAGCCTACTAAGAGTACTGCTAAACCCCGTATCTATGGGACTCCAGCGACAGAGACGCCTGAAGACAAAGCTTTGAGAGCTCTTGCAGAAGCGGGATATGTTACAATAACATGTAACCGAGAACCCCTCCTACGGAGGTCATCATGACCTTAGCCCCTATCCCACCATATGCACCGTCTTGGAAGACTTACCGACTCAACGGAGACTCGTAGAGACGCCTAGAACGGCCTGGATGCCGTTAGATGACCTAGACCAGCCTAGGCTACATCTGATCGGACCTAGATGGTCCTCGACCCGGATCATGAGGAAGCTCTGCCTCATGGTCAGAAGAGAAGCCGCATGCCTTAGCATGCGCAGTTAGACTCAAAGGCATGCTACGCCTTGAGGACAGATAAGAGAGGCATGGTAAGCCTCATGTATAGATACACTTACAACTACCTACCGAACGTAGTATTGGTCTGTGCACACGGACGACAGTATATAGAGCAGACAGAATCATGTATATTCCCTACTTGATTCTACTAGGTTTTATCCAGAACTTCCTCTGAAAGACAGTCCCAGTCCTTCAGTCTAAGCCGCACCTTAAGGAAAGCCGACGCTACCTTAAGTGGAACCCCCGAACCTCTCATTCGAGAGAAGATCCCCGTCTCTCCAATAGCAAGCCCGCTATCAGATTAGGCAATCCGCCTAGGGAGAGCTCGAACTATCCTAGTCCGTAACAAAAGAATCAAGTCTCACATTCCCGGCCCTGCTCATCACGCACCGCCGTTGAATCGATACCGACCGCACCGCTGAGACAAGCGTAGACCTCTACTCTCGTGACCAAATCGCCGAGACCGGCGTAAAGCTATCCACAAATTGTCAAGACAGACGTACGAAGCTTTGAATCCTTAAGCCTATCACTGTCCCTTCGCACCACTCCCTCTACCATGAACGCACCGACTCAGATCATGATGATCAGAAGAAATACCGACGCCGCCGCCAACCTTTCAGGAATGGATACAAGACACCACCTGAAGCAACGACGATGCTTTTCTTGCCATCACGTTGGACACAAAGCCAACGACCACAAGTGCCCGATGAGGAGAAAGATTATCGAAGAAGAAACAGTCCGCAAGACAGCGGCTGGTAAGGAGAAAACTGGACCGCTGCTAATAATTAACAAGAACAGCGTATCCAAGAAGAAAGAACTACGGGTTGCCGCCACCCTAATGTCCATCACTAAGCCGCCCGTAACGACCACCATGGTCATAGACTCGGGCGCATGCGACTCATTTATAAGCAGAGAACTCTGCAAGAGATATCGCATTAGAACGCACCTCCTTCAGAAACCAAAACGGGTAATAAACGGAGACGGAACGACAGTCGAAGGAGGCAAAGTCAAGAGATTTTGCCGACTCATTATAAAGATCGACGACCGAGTAATGCACGGACGATTCCTCGTAATGCCGCGCTTAGACGACATCTTACTCGGATTCACATGGCTGGCCGCTGTGAAACCATCCATAGATTGGAAGAAAGGCACGGTAACTATCCCTGCCACTGACAAGTCGAAAGGACTTGAGAGAATGATTGAGAGAGGTAGGAAGAGGAACGGGTTGAAGCCGCTCCTCCGTAGAGAAAAGAGGACGCGAAACACGCGCCAAAGAAGGGAGGTAGGCACCCTGACGAAGAAGAAAGAAGAACTCCGAGATGAGTATAAACTAGATCTGACAGAAGCACCTGTCACGCAGAACCTCCGAAATGAGGCTAAACTACCAGAACCGGCTGATTCGCCGATGAAAGATCTCCGAAACGAGTCGAAACTAACTTCGGGAAGACGGAGATTCAATCCGACATTAACCCCGATCGAGGAACTCCACGAAATCCTCGAATACGCACCGGCTACCAAGCCGTTGGAACCCCACGCCTCGACATCCCAGAACGTCGAGAAGAAGTCCACGAGACAGTCGGACTTAGTTGCCACCTCACCACCCGCAGATAAATATAGATTCTCTGCAGTACCTGCCCAGATCTTAGGAAAAGGCAGAGCCACTTTCGACGAGGAACCCCCTCGTGCAAAGATCCCTAGACCGGCCCCTGAACCGGAGAAAACTCAGAAGTACGTCTTTTCAGCAGAACCTGCCTCGGTTCTTGGAAAAGGTAGATCGGTAGTCACGGCAGAAGCGCCATCACCGAAGAAACTCCGCCAAGAGTATAAACTAGCAGAAGACGAACCGGCCGCTGATCAATGGATCAACCGGGCCGAGCCGATCGTTTCTTTCCCAGAACGATCGAGAACCGCACCAGTCACTCGCCCATTCCTCGTGCCCACACTAGCCGATAAGGAAATGATGGAAGAAACTGACGATGAAGATAACAACAAGATAGTTGTTAACACTGCTCCCGCGGCCCCTGCCATAGCAGAAGAACCCGCGACGACTCCGATGGAAGTAGATCGGATTAAACAGCAGAACTACTTTCAGCGAACGATAAAGCGTATCGCAAGACACTGTCCCCGCCAGGACGACCCTGTGGATGTTAGATTATTCCAGGGAGAGATCGCACCAGTCACGGATCAGTCTGACCCTGACTGCGGAAACCTTGATTTAGACTTCTAGATTTGATCAGGTGATCAAACGGCCTACTTGGGGGGTGAAATTCTCATTTAAAACTCATTTTACTCTTAATTCCCCTCACCCCGGCCGCACCCTTATCTATAAATATCGACAATCGCCATAAGTCCGGCATGACTATAAACTGTACCTGAGTCCGGCACGACTATAAACTGCGCAGAAGTCCGAAATGACTTGAAACTATCCTCGGTCCGGAAAGACCTTAAACTATCCACTGTCCATCACGACTCTAAAACTGAGAATAGAAGGACGAACCCAGAGACACGGACCCCTTCACTCTGAAAACAAGACTAATACACCGAGAAACTCCTGCAAGCCCCGGATGCCTTACCTTCGCCACTGTCCGGAAAGACGCTAAACTATCACGAGACGAACTCCACGGAAACTCCTGCAAGCCCATGGAACCCTCTAGAACGCCGACCGAGAAGTTCAACAAAAAGAACATCTCGAAACGACATACCCCAGATCTTGACAGAATTCGACTAAAACGAAAGATCAAGACACGCACGTCCGCAATGACGCAAAACTTCCGCTTCTAATAGTCCGGAATGACTCGAAACTATCACAGAACCGCACTGGCATGGTGACTTCCCCCTCTGCCAAAAGAACCATGAGGCACTCCACGCCTTCATGATTGAACTTTGATAAAGAGATTAAAAGATAAGTTAACTGATCAAGCGGAGCTTAGAGCACTCTTGGAGGCCCATATAAACCCTCTACAACGATATACTCGCCAGAAACTCTCGCAACAATCATGCCTAACAACATCGAAGCCTCTACCATCGTTCCCCTAAAGAACTCGGGATTTTCCAAAATCCTCGACCACCTCGAGAAAGGCGCCGTCGCCGAAACGGCCATTCTCTCCCCAGATCACTTCCTAGAGATCAGCGACATCCTAGGACAGTCAGATGTCAACATCGCCGCCTCTGCATCACTGGTGATAGACATCATCCGCACCACGCGACACCTAGAAATATCGGTGAACCGTGAAGACTTAGACCCAGCAACTAGAGCCCTCATAGTGCTGGAAGACCAGAAGAAAATCCGCGCAATGGCGCTCCACTTACTCCCCGACAACTTCAGCGACCTTGTAGACGTTGCGAAGAAACGCGTTGGAGAAAAGTTAAGACCCTCGCGCCCTACCAAGAAAGCGCGAGTAGACCGCACCTACATCTGCCGACGATGCGGAGGATACGGACACAATTTTAGAAAGTGTCCAGACGCTGTGTGCTGCATCTGCAGCGAGATCGGACCCGACCACCTGTCGGTCCATTGCCCTCAACTCGAAGAAGAATCACCCCTTCCAGAGTTTCGAGACGATGAGGAATACTACGAACTCCTCGTAGATTGGGAGAAGAACCACGTAGCGCTAGAAGAGTTAATCAAGCACCACCCCGCGCCGCGCTCACCCACTCCCATTGATACCCGCAGTAATACTGCCACTCCAGACGAAGAAACCCGGGAGAGAGTTTTGTCGTAGTCGGTGACTTCGACCCAGAAACGGAGGTAATGTTACAATAACATGTAACCGAGAACCCCTCCTACGGAGGTCATCATGACCTTAGCCCCTATCCCACCATATGCACCGTCTTGGAAGACTTACCGACTCAACGGAGACTCGTAGAGACGCCTAGAACGGCCTGGATGCCGTTAGATGACCTAGACCAGCCTAGGCTACATCTGATCGGACCTAGATGGTCCTCGACCCGGATCATGAGGAAGCTCTGCCTCATGGTCAGAAGAGAAGCCGCATGCCTTAGCATGCGCAGTTAGACTCAAAGGCATGCTACGCCTTGAGGACAGATAAGAGAGGCATGGTAAGCCTCATGTATAGATACACTTACAACTACCTACCGAACGTAGTATTGGTCTGTGCACACGGACGACAGTATATAGAGCAGACAGAATCATGTATATTCCCTACTTGATTCTACTAGGTTTTATCCAGAACTTCCTCTGAAAGACAGTCCCAGTCCTTCAGTCTA